GATACTTCAATTGTTTTAGAATACAAGTGTCCTTCAGATTCTCCCCTTTCCCCCCAAAACAAAACAAAACAAAAACTTACAGGCAAGTTTACCTTCTTTTAATAGGGTCACAGATTTCTATTTATTTAATAAGTCTCCCTAATTAATGAGAATACTCTGAAATTAATTTATGTTATAGAAAATATTCCATTCAGTTGAATGCATGCAAAGATGGGTGTGTATGTTTTGGTGTATTTATTTATAGGCTACACTTTATCCAGGCTTTGGTCTTGCCATATTTTCCAAATTTTTCTTCCCAAAGAAGAAGTGAAACACTTGGACAAGGGGAGAGGGAAAGGAATCTGGAGTGAATCTCTTTCCTCTACTGTAAGTGTTAGGTTGGATGTTCAGTCACTGTTTGACCAATGTTTGTTTGTTTGTTTTCTACAGGGGAAAAAAAAAAAAAAGAAAAGAAAAAGATTAAAGTTAAAAATTGGGACTTTCCATCTTAAATGGAATTTTTATAATTAGATGTTTAACGATAAAGTGTCTTGCAAAAATGAGAGTGCATGATCACAAGCTGAGTTCTTGGCAGGGACACAGTCTCATAGAATCATAGACTCATTAAGGTTGGAAGAGACCTTCAAGATCATGTGGTCGAACCGTCATTTTCCACTTTGTTTTAAAACAGCTGAAGGCGTACGAAGATGCATCCACATTACTGTGCTCATGATATGCTACACTGAGAGCTTTCCAACTACAGCTTAACTATCAAGACCATTTATTACTGAAAACTAATACCCACGTAATCATCCATGCTGTAACCCTACCTGATAGCCAGAGTAAGAGCTATAGGCTGAATGAGACAAATGGATATGAATGCCAAGTAGTACTTTCAGCTTAAATAGACATACTCAGTTTATAAAAGCTCTACCATTGGCTTGCATTAGTCTAGTGGATGGTCAGTCAACACATGCTGCAAGCAGCTTTCCTGTAGTACAACATACTTGTACAAGCCAACATTTTTCTTAATTTGTGCTTCCAGAAAACAGTTAAAGAATTTGCATTAATTAGCTTTTCTCTAGAGTCTAAGGTCTACCCATCTAAATTCCCCGCTTAATCTAAATTCCCCACTTCATCCAGCTCTTTGGAGTATCATTAGGAACATAATAGCTTACAAGTTAAATAGACTCTGTGGACAACTTACCTAAATATAGAAGTGTTTGAGTTCCTGCATAAATTTAGCAAAAAACCTGTTGTTTTCTAGTGAGTATCCTAAGAATGCCCCAAACTCATGAGTATTTTATAGTATTTCATTCCACAGGTTATGTTCTGTTTTGAAACTGAGCACTGTGTTGGTGAACTTAATCTGCTTATTGGGAGATCATAGAGGAAGAAGAAGCATGGAACCATAAAGTAGTCCCTCTCACATATCTATATGAGAGCTCATTCGTTAATTAATGTATATAATGACTTCACCTAATATCTTAATATCTAAGGTATTTTGTATTAAATATAGCTACTTCCATGTGATTCTCTTCAAAAATTTCCTGGCTGTTTTTGTTAGACTGTTTTTTTCTTTTTTTTTTTTCTTTTTTTTTCTTTTTTTTTTTTCTTTTTTTTTTTTTCTTTTACTTTGTATGCTACATGCTAACTGAAAAAGGAAAGAAAATGCAGATATATACCATGATTACAGTCAGCATGGAACTCGAACCCACTTTAAAAACAAGAGAAAACAAACCTGCAAACACTGGTTTTATGTAATGTTGTGTATATGCCATTGATTCTCTTCCCACTAAAACAATTATCTAGATGGAAACGGTTCATTTAAGTTCTGCATCAGAAACAGGAGAAAGATTTGCTCAGTAGGAGAGACAATAATAACTATAAATGCATAAAAAATAACATTAATGTAAGATGGTTAGGTCTCATTCTTCAATTTTTGTTTCAGAATGTCAATGCAGTTATGAAGTTCAAACCTCAAACCAGAAACTAGGACAGTCATTTAATCTGAATTCATTTCCATTTGTGTAGAGCACAAATTATTTTTGTAGTATTCCCAAAATATGTGAGTGATTAAGATGATATAAACACTAGTCTTTGTATGAATTGTTGAGCGTCCATGAAGAATATATATACACATATCCCAACCAATATTAGTGTGCTAGAAAGTCAGAAGTACAATGCTTTTTCTTTCACCCCCTTATTTCATTAGAAGTGGTAAGTGGTATTTTTGTAGAAGTGGTCTTGGAAATGGACATTTTCACAAAAAAAATTGGGAAAAAAAAAAAAAAAAAAAGGACTCCTAGCAGAAGCTGGGGACCCAAGACTGAAAGTGATATTGGTGATGATAAGGACAAAGGTCTGATGTGAAAGTTGAGGCCTCTAGGCTTGCTCCGGGGAACACTTGCAGTGGATGGCTATTGACATGTGTTTTTTTTTTTCCCCCTTCACTGTGGGTAACGAAGTTGGGTAAAGCTCTTGTCTAAAGCAAAACAGTTCTCCCTTTATTTGCTGCTTCATGCCACAGCTGTGTTGTGCCTCAGACCTGGTTGTGCTGGTGGGGTTGGAGCAGAAGGGGCGCAGGCCTCCTCGGGGCAAACTTGCCCGAGGAGCTGGCAATCTGAAGGAGTGCATCACTATTCACAATGCAGTATTAACTGCTTAATAAGATCAGCCTGCTGAAGGAGGTTTGTAATTCATTTTACCATCATTAGCTGAACCGCACGTAGTCCAGCTCCATCGTGGTACTGGCTGTCACAGCCTCTAGTGCCCACTTGGACCTGCACAGGGGATGGCTGACACCTTCATCTTCTTGAGGGACCTGTTTGTGTTTGTCACAACAGGCAGCGATGGCCTTGAGCTTCCTTGGCTAAAGAATAAGAGGGCGGCAGCTGTGTAATTAGAGGCTATTTGATGGCAGTGGGCTACAGCCTGCAGAGGGAGATCACTGAGAGTAGATGGCTGATTTATCCTTTGCCAGGAAACACAGGAATCAACTGTTGTTGCCTGAATAGGCTAACCGATCTGGTGTGGCTTTTGGAGGCTGCAAAGAAGGCAACTGTGGGGTCAGTCGTTACTTTTACAGGCAAGAGAAAGTCCTTCTCCACAGTCATTCCTCATGGGTTGGTGGGACCATTCAGGGCTGGGTGTGGAAATAATTGCAAGTTCCTGTTTGTAAAAGACTGTGGCTTTGTGTGGTGCAAGCTTCCATGCTTCAAAACCCCTGATCATAGGTGGTTCTGAGTATGGAGAAGGATGAAAATGCTTGCCTGGATAAGGGGGTGGGGAATACTCTTTGTCAAGCTGAGCATTGCTAGTGAGACACTAGACATAAATAAGATCTGTATCCAAGGGGAGAATGGCACTTGGGGAGCTTTGTGGTCAAACCTGGCAGTAACTGAGGAAAAATGAATCAACCACTTACACCATGTAAACTGTCATTTATATTGTAGTAGAATGTGATGTCCTAGTCAAGGCTATGACAGATTTATGTTGTGATATAAAGCAATAATCTTGCTGTAAACCTCAGCATAAAAATAACTGCACAGAGAAGTGTGTGGTGTAAATGAATTGTGAAAATACACATTCTGCAAACATTTTTCATACAGCGTAGATTCTAATGCAATGAATCCTTTCCAATCTATGTATCTTTAAAATAAAATAAAAAGTATTTTAAAAATTCTGTGTGAAAATGTAGAGATTTTATTTAATGCCTAACATAATGACTGTCTGATTGTGATGATGACAAATTGTATGTTTTTTTGTCATTGCAAGTCTGCAACAATGAGATAAGACAATCTTCTATTATCTCATTTGTGCACATTTTGTATTTTGATTTTCTTTTAGAGGAATGTGAAGGTGCATAATTTGTTAATAGGTGAGGAAGAACCAAGGATATAACGGTAGTTTTTTAGCAGTGGCAGAATACTATTCTATAATTTTTAGTATTTTCCCAAGTCAAACTCTTCATTCAAGCAAGGAACTTAATAGAGGAGATATTGATCAGTGCTCTAAATCCATCTGCATTAATTTTCATGCCCAGAAGACTAGATGATTTCTTTTCTGGTATTGGTTTGTAACTAGTTTTTCTTACTGAGCATAAAGTAATCAGGAACATGCCTGGAGCTAAAGTTTTTTTTTTTGTTTGGTTGTTTTTTTAAGTATTCATTTAGCTTTTTGCTATCAATTGTACAGAGTGGGGCAATAGAAGTGGTGATGCTTTCGCATAATGAAACTCATTCAGGGAAAGGCTAGCAATTAGCATCAAAAACATACCTATGGAAATCAGCAGTGACAATACCAGATTATTTTTGGTGAATATAGGCAGAAGAACTTGAAAATTTTCCAGTTGCCTCCAGTAGAATCAGCATTATCCAAAACAGTAGCAAAACAAAATTTCATTGCTCTGAAGCTCAGACATGTAGCTAATTCATAACAGTGCTGTCGTGAAGAAACCGTATATATTGTGGCAACATATGAAACTTGGAGTACTGGATGAAAAATATGGATGAGCTTGCAGCAAACTGCTGGTATATAACCAGACTGGGTCAATGAACTGTTGACTTGGGTGGCAGGTTGTGGTTTTTATTTTTTTCCCTCTATACATTGTGGTTGTTTCTACAGCTCTTACATTTTTGGAGATGCTGAAAACTGTGAAGTTAGGTAGCTCCCTATCCAAAGGACAAGGGAGATAGTATGTATTATCTTGTCTATCTTTTAATCTTTTCTATGGAAATCTGGTAAATGTGGTTGAAACACTTTTTACTAAGTAAATTTCCATGTGATGAAAATTACTTTTAATTCACAAAGCAAAAGGATTTCTTCTGCTACCTGTCCTCCTATCTCAAGCTTCTCAGTCGGTCTTTTTACTCCTTCTTTTGAACTGTGCAAATGGTGTCCAGAGTTTGTGAAAATAATGGGTCAGTGATGAAATATGTGGGTTTAAGCAGCAGTTTTGGTTGACTAAGTTTGTTAATGTGCACATTTCCCTGGCTTATTACTTTTTTCTCCCCATATAGACAGCTAAGGATTGTGACAGGGGAATGGTTTTTTGAAGAGAGAGCCAAGCGCTTCAGACAGTCAAATCTTGGAACTGATGTTGTCAGACAGTCTATCCTACGCAAATCCCCAGGTAGGGACCTCGAGAGAGAGATTTGTTGTATATGTTTAATATAATACATTCAAACCTTGTTTTCAGAGTGTTGTACTTGTGTTATATTTCCTTCTTCACTGTAGAAGGTATAATAAATACTTTAATCTTAATTTCACATTTTGGTATTACTATGCACTGGTTTGTGAATGATTAGTATATAGGAGAGGTAAGCTATAGATGAATGAAGAAGTAACTCAGTGGGGCTAGAGAGCTGCTGAAAATCTCACTCTCCTATCAGATGGACACCATTGTTCAGCTGCAAAGCCAGAAGCAGAGGCTCTTAACATTCATTCTCATTTCTTGCCAGGAAGTTTGGCTGTATGCAAAGATCTAAAACCAGCCGTTTTTCGTCTTTGCCTCTCTTATTTGTAATGGTGATACATAAAAAGTATGATTCCGTTTTATTTATTTATTTATTTATTTAAACTCCGAATAGGAAAGATAAATGTTAACTCCTGTGCTGTATGCTGCAGCACGAGCTACATCCAAACTACTTGGAAAGCCAAGTGAGAATGAAGAGGTACCTTTTACCCAGATATCTCCAATAAATTGCACCTGCAAATTAAGGAACAGAAAAAAGTCCATGGTTCTGAGTGAAGCAAGCATACCATGGTTATGAGCTGCTGTGGTACCTTGCCTGGTATCACAGGACCACTGGTTTAATAAACGAGAGGTTTTTTTGAATCCTGATGATTTTCTCTTCACGTAACTACCTCACTCTGAACACAGAATCTGGTATTTAGGTAGTCTATTTTCAGAGGTATCATTCATTAGTTTGAGTAGGAATGTGGTAGTTACTGGAAGTTTTTAGGGGAAGGACAGGCTTACTGCCCTTGGAAAAAATTCTGGTGCAAGTATACTGATTGGCAAAATGCTCATCTTTCTATTAGTGTGCTTCAGAAACTGTCAAACTGGCATGTGTCTAATGTTCTTGTTTTTTTGACACTATGCAACCTGTCAAATAGGGTATTTTGTAATTTTTTACTATATGTTTACATTTGATGTACATAGTTGAAAAAAATAAGCCATTTTTTTTCCCCACATTTTGTTTCCAGATGAACATACATTTTAATTAAGAAAACATTCTTTCATTTAACACAGAAAATGCTTTACTCTGCAAAATCGTATATTGGGTCCTTTGGTTTTTAACTTCGTTGGTAAATTCAGAAGCATAGTTCAGCAGTAAAGCTGACAGTGAAAAACATTTCAGTAAAGCTGATAGTGAAAAACATTTCAAACTACTTAAAATTTAATTTTCCTCTATTAAAAAGAGAAACCAAAGCCCTCCCCAGCAGTTTTTGTATGATGGTTTATAGTACATTTTAATTTAGTATTGAAAAATGGAAAATCTATTTTTGCAGGTTGTTTGATGTGAGCTGCCTTTATTTGTACAAACATTGATTTTATTTTATTTTTTCTTTCCCCCTCCACTGAAGATACAGTTTCCAGTAAGGATGAAGAAAGAACATTCGCAGATCAACCCCAAGAGAATGAAGAAAAAGGGCCAGATATATCAACCTCCTCCGTAACTGGGCATAAATCAGTCTTTGGAGGACACAGAAAGATAGGGTAAAGCCTCACTTTTTTTTTTTTTTTTTTTTTTAACTGATAAATCAGATATCAGCTGCATATGTTGGATGGATTTTCTTTTGAGTCTCTCCAGCATTCCACATCAGTCCCAAATTTTGCAGTTAGAAACAATCTTCATTTAAAATCTGCTTACTATAAGTAAACTGCTGTCTCCTAGGAAATGCAGCCGTAATTACCCTTCAGCTATAGAGGTAGCAGAAAAAAGGCAATTTTACCCTGTGATTTTTCCTGTTTATACTTTGAAGCAACAGTGGATCTCTAAAAGCAGTTTTGCTGAGGAAGCAAACAAAAGAAACAGTACTTGAAAGGCCTGTTTTGATTGATTGATTTAGTTTACAAGTCATGTTTTCCTTTGGCTTCCATATGTGCAAATTTAGTCTAAAAGTCAAGCAGTGCCCCTTTATTTTGAATAACCAGATATGTTGTTGGTCACTTTACAGACTGTGATGTGTGTAACGCCAGTTAGGGTATGCCCTTAGAGGACATAACAGATGCAGTGAATATATGGTTTTGTGGGTGGTGTCTGGACATAACTTGAGGCTATTGGGTGAGTGGAAAGGAAGATTGGAAGAATGTTTCTGTTGTGGCTGGAGCTATGGATCCTCCCAAACATAGAGTAGGTAGATAGCTTTCTACACCTTTTTGATTTTTGAGGAGTTCTGGATATGGAGTTCCTTGCTCTAGTCGTTTGACTACACAAGTAATTTTTCTCTCTTTAATAGTGGGAAAAAGAGCATCAGAAAACCTCTGCCTTCTCAAGTGAAGGTGAGGAAGGAACTGGTTTAGGGAATCTACTGTAGTGGAACCTTGACGTTGCTCTAAATCATGCTAATCGGTAGCAATAGTGAGAGTGCAATAAAATTTACTTTTCTAATCCTCTTTTAATTTAAATTCATTGTACAGATCTAGTAGTCATATTTACTTATGAAAAACAAAGTGTTTTTTATTGTCTGCTATTTATTTTAGTGGGTTTCAGCATTTTTTTTGTTTGCGGCCTGAAATGTGACATTCCCCATAAAAGTAATCCTACAAGATATAGGCCACTTCTCTCAGAAGTAATTAATTACTTCTCTTCCTTCCTTGCTCCTTCTTCCTCACTCAAGTTCCATGCTCATATATCTCATGAGAGGATTTGCTTTAGCAAAGCCAGTTTGGGACCAACTTCTGACATATAGTGTCATGAGAAACCCTACCACACTATTGTTGTTTGTAAGTCTGTGAAACATACTGTTACTTTGCAACACCTCCTTTCCTTTCTGGCTTTTTAGACCACATAGTGCAGGGTAAGGGGGTGACATTATGTTTCTGGAAAGTAGTATGTTTGGGGCATTGCTGTATATAATTGTAGAAACCGCAAAGAGATCTTTAAGGGAAAATACACATCGTGTGATTTCCTACAAGAAAATACGCACATTTGATCAAAAATCCTTTGCTGTGTATATTCTATACAAATATGAGAATTTTCACAAAAGGCACTTTGGTTCAAGGCTGGAAGTCACCATGTTTTGATGTCCTGTCTGTTTATTGTAAATATAATATTGCTTTTGTTTATAGGAATCAGCTTGATATCTAGATTGGGTACTTTATGGACCATTATATCCAGAGTTGTTCATAGTTCAGACATGAAATGAATAAAAAGTGCACTTTGTGATATTTCAGCCAGTTTGCAGTTTCTGGGAAAGATCTTGTGACATGTAAAACATTATTTTTTTATTCCCTGTTTTCATCAGGAAGCTAATTAAGGCAGTTACCAAAGGAGAAATTACATATACAAAAGATGAAAGTGGAAGGAACATAGGCTCAGAAGCTGAAAGCCAAAGTCTGTGCAGTGGCAAGTCAACACCTTGTTCTGAGAGGTAAGCAGCAGAAATCTGTTACAGTTTATGGTGGGGTGACCTAAAGGGATGCTCCAGTCCCCAGACATGCTTTGGCTTTGAATGCCCAGCGTGAGTCCTACCTGAGAAGCAGAGCTTATGTTAATAATTAAAAACAAACAAACAAAAAACTGCTGTCCATCCCCCTTTGTATTTTTTTCTTGCCTTATATTTGCATGTTGATTGCTGTCAGTGTTTTGGGTTTTGTTTTCTGTTGTTCAATTCAACAAGCTGTGCTCGTGGTACAGAACTGAGGCCCTTTGTTCCAAAGTTTTGCTTTTGTAATGACATGTTAATTGATTGTAATTTATATTTTCTTTTTCAAAGGCTCTGTTTGCCCTTCTTTTTCCAAAATTTTTGTCACAGTTATTTCAAATAGAATTCCATTTATCATTCTTCTGGGCCTAATCTCTGTTATTGGTTCTGTCAACTGCATTATAAAATGCTACATGCAATATTCCTCTCATGTCCCACTTCCAAAATGAAGGCAAAAAATGTCTCACTTTCTTCTTGTTGGATAATCTATACAGAATATAGACCTATACATGTTGGTGAGGTGTACACACCTAGAAATTTTACAATCTAGATTTCTGTAGAGGGATGAAAATTCCTGCCTTGTATATGTGTGGTTAAATACATAATAAGATATACAAAGATGCTTGCTTTAGTTCTTCCATTGTTAATTTATAGAGCTGAGTAGTAATTATTAAAAATAACAAAAAACTTTCCCAGGCTAACCTCCTTAACTCTTTGGAGTTGAAAGTTAAAGGAATATAACAGTATATTGTGACACTGCAGCTGTCTTAGATTTTTTTGCATATTTTTGATCTTTGTAATTGCCCTCATCTTTTCGCTCTGCCAAAACTGAAGTATTTCACTTACCATCAGGGAGACTGAAAAAGAATTCTTATTCTTTCCTAACGTTTTGGTTTAAGAAAACCTGTACTGAGCTGTGAACAGGGAGGCCTGGGCCATGAGTTCATCTCTTGGACTTCTGTTCCAGCAACAATGTTTACTGGTTTTGCAACTGAATGAACTAGGTGGTTGCATCAGGATGCTTTTTGGAGGAATAGTATAGGAATTTCAGACTTGTCTACACAAGCACACTGCCCCATCCATCATGCTGAGGTCTTGTCTACCACATGGAAATGCCTGGTATAGTCACCTTATAACAGGTTCTTTCTTTTGTTGTCTACTTAATATGTGCATAAAATAAGATCAACCTCTCTCTAATAGCAGACTGGAACAAGAACAAAAGACTAGAGAGGTCTGTACAGTAGATTTGATGCTCAAGTGATAACTGATAACTACAGAATCCCTTGTAACACATTTTGAAAGCTTTTTATCCTGGGTCCAGTATGACTTCTGAACACTTCTGTTGATTTACATTAGTTTACAGAGTGAGGAAAAAAACTGTAACAACAGCTTTCGTAACAGAAAGTCACAACAATCCATCAAAAGTGGTGTGATGTGCAATAAAATTCATGTTTTCAACATTTTGGCTACTTGTCATGCGCTGACAGGTTTAGAAATAAATTTAGTGTAGCTAAATACAGGAGCTTTGACAAAATATAGATGACAGTCAGGAGCCTTGATTTTCTGACTTTACAGCACTGAAAGCACATCTTTGTGTGAGCAGATAGGATTAAAATTCAATCAAAACACATTCTTTAGGGTTTGTTGATCACTGATTCATCAGATTAAAAAGTAGCAGTGCATGTATGTGAAGTGCACATGCGTAGGAGTGTGTTTATTGTGCATAATCTACTATTGTTAATACAATAAATTGAATAGCAATTGCTTAAAAGGTTACTGTATGTTCACTAAGGGACAAAATATGGTTGTGCAACATCAATAGACAGCCCTGGTGTTTGCGGTTTTCCTCTGTATTCCTTTTTTTCAGTAACTCCACTGATGTGAATTCAGCAAATTCAGCATCTGTGTTCACTGTTTAGTGTAGTGGTGAGAGTTGAACATATTTTCTCAGTTCAGCAATAGTTCTGATAAAAAAAATTCCATTGTGGTAGATAAGATTTTTACTGGAATTACCCTAAACATTATATGACAGGCTAAGCCAAGTGAACGTGAAATTCAGATGTTGTTTAGCACAATGAAGATGCCTGCAGATCTGAAATATTTATTAAGCAAGCTTATTTTTGCTGAAAGTGTGCTTTAAGTTTCAATAGCATTTTTTTTTACAGCAAAATTGCAGCACCCCTATCCTCTGATGCTGTATTTTCCATGTGGTAAAGACTGCAGTTCCTGCCTCAGTTGCTATTGACCTGTAATTGTTTGAAGCAGTAAGTAGGAGTTCATGCAGAACTGTTACTGTCTTGCAAGACTCTTTGAGAATTCTCCAAATTAGGAAGAAAAATGAAAATGGCTGAACTGATGTTTGCAGAGAAAGAGAGAAAAGTGGATTAGCCAGGAAGTTCTACTTTTGCTGCAAATCAAATTTGAAATGAAAATAGAACTTCCACTGGGAACATTAAAATACGTTTAAAAGTAATGTTCATTGTTTCAAGAGGCCAAACTTATAAACACAAAACCAGCAGCCTATACTTTCTAGCACCAATTGTCCACCTAGAGTACTTGATATTTTCTAATAGAAAATGTCCTATGGAAAACAATCTACCTGTTGTGGCATTAGACAGCAAATGGATTCTGGTATGCTGATGATAGATTGTTTTTTGTCACTTTTACTGACTAACAGGAAACCTGGCAAAGAGTGTCATACAGCTTTCCAAGCTAGTTGAAATAATCAGCCAGTTTAGGTCAAGAGTCGTTATCACAATACAAATAGGACAATGCTCTTCTAAGCAGGAGTGAGGACAGTTGTTTTTCTGTAGAGGAAGGAGAGTGTACAGCTGAGGAATTTAGACTCTGTAGGGTTAGTGCAGGCAATACCATCAGCTGCAGACATGGCCAGAACTATCATGGTCTGGTAGTTTTCCTTCAAAAGGAGGAGCAGCTTGGTGGGAAGTGTCACACAGGAGGCCTTGTACCTACTCTTGGGATGTGAATGGAGCATGAAACGAACACACAGGAATGCAGCTTCTGTAGCCCAGAGGGCAGCCTGGACAAGAGATGCCTGCACAGGCTATTTACATGTCTGGCAGAAGTGCTGAAAATAGGTGTAGGTATAAAGTAATTAATTCACCCTTGCTTATGTTTGTCTTTCCAGGTGACCATTTCCTTGCAGTGGATCACAGTTCATCCAGGGCGATGTAATTCTAGTAAACTGTTTTAATCACTGTTTTATTACATGGTCTGCTAAAAGCAATAATGCTTTATTACTCTTATCTCCTTCCCAGAGGGAGCACTCTTTCGCTGAACAGCAATGATACAGAAGCTGCCGCAGGCCATCTGAAAGGGGCTGTGGGCCCTTCAAACAGAAGCAGTGTTTCCGTATCTACCCTCCCGAGGTCTCTAGTGCTGAGCACACGCAGCATGACTGCAGATTATAGCAGGGTAAGTTCACTGATGTAGGACTGACACCAAATACAGCTATAGAGCTGGCGCCAAACAAGATGGTCTGGCTGGTATCTGCCCTGTTAGATCAATTTGTAGCTCAGGAGGGATAAGCTCAACAGAGAAGATTTTGTTTCTTCCTTAATTCTGTTGGGTCCAGTGAAGTTATCTACTAGAAGAGAATTTGTCACGCTCTATCAGTGGTGTGGTTTGTGGTTTGGCAGACGTTTTTCTTATGTCTAAAAATTGCTGCTAATGTCCAGAATTAAATAATAAGTTACAGATTTTCAAGTGGGAAGCACAAGGGGTGGGAGTAAGCATTTTTGGCACTGCAGGGTCTTGAGTAAGTGCTGTGACTAAGGATGTGACTTTACAGCACATAGGGTCCAGCGTGCTCCCACTGACTTCCAAAGGAAGGAGATCAGCACTTGTAGAAAATCAGGCCATACCAATTTTAGCTTTTTTTCTGGATTTGGACACTGGACTCTGTGTAAATTTTGGCATAGCATCTAATATGCACTAGATATTTTATCAAATTGAAAGATGGGATTCCTCTTACTTGCTGTTATGTCTCTAAGGATGTGGATAGCCATGTCTGAGTCAGCATCCTTGGCTGATTCATAATAAGCAGAAGGACGTGGCTCACCTCAGCCAGAAGCAGAAGCCGTCTTCATTCCCGGACAGCCTGCCAGTTTGCCAGGCAGCTGTTCCTGGCTGTGCGCTGGGTGGGGCACCCTGAATGTCTTTCAGTCACCGCTCCTAATAAATCAGGATCATTCTAGAGGGTTGTTCAAGTTGCCATGACCTAAGTGTACAAGGAAAGTCAAATTTATAGTCAGAGGTAATGCCTTTTATCATTAATGCTTGGACAGAAGTAGATGAGCCTTTTTGCTCACACCCTCATTGAAAGAGCACATCCATTTTTTCCAGCTTCCAAATACTTTTTCTAATATATTATCCTTCCTAAAAACAAATCAGTATATATGAAGGACAGCTTTGGGAGCTGTAAATATGTTAATACTTGTTTTATTTATATTTTTCTTGGCACACGGGTTGACTTGATTTCAGATACATTAGATCTGGTTGAAAAAGACAAATCCATTTAATTTAGATTCAATTATGTTGTTAGCTATTCCTTTACAGGAAGGCAAAAAGCCATAATGATATCAAGCATATTAGCTTTATTTAAGTAGTTATGCTGGCATAATTTAATTAGTTCAAGTCCACTTAGTTTTACCCCGTCTTAAATTATTATGCTAGTATAAAGCCAATAGTTTTTATTTTTATTCTTTTTGTTTCCTCTAGTTTCTAGGCTAAGTTAACATCGAAAGGATTTGTTTTACTTTCCTTCTGTCACTTCTGATGTGTTGCTCTGATTCTTCTGTTGCAAGCACAGGAAGTACACATGAATTGCATATTTGTACAAATTTTATTCATGATCAGTGCTAAGCAACACAGATTAGATCATAATCAAGATATATTCTGTAATACTGTAATTCTGTAAAGGAGCTTTGGAGTTCTGTGAATTAATAGAAATGACGCTTTTGTAGACTGATGGTGAATAAATTTGCTTTTTGTATTGATGGGATATGCATTTTTTTTATTGGGCAGAACACTGGCTTAGGAAATGGCATGGTTATTCCAGCAAGTGAAAGTGTACCTGAAGATTTAGTAAAGAAGCAGCATAGGAGGAAAGCATCTGGAACACCTTCCATTGCAGTTTCTAGAGTATCTTTGTCATCAGGCAAGTATTACGTGTTCCTTTTTTTTTCTGCCACCCTTTATCATCTGAGGATATTTCCTATTCTCACAGCTCTGCAATTTTTGTTTGTAATTCATATTGTACAGTAAAATGTGTTTCATATACTTGTTGATATTCCTTCTGCAAATTCTTCATTTTTACCAATGAAGCTTATGCCACTCTTTTATATTTTGTGTTTGAAAAAATTGAAAATAATGTTAGCATAAAGTTAGTATTTGAGTGAATCACATACTCTTAGTTTTGTTACTAGATTTAATTCGTGTTTGCACTTTGTTAAATCATTCCCTGTGTGGTCAACTGTATAAAATACTACCTGTGTGCAATCTGTATAAAATATTGCTATGCTTCTTCAATTATGTTTCACACCCACTTTGCCCAGAAACAGATAACCCTGAGAAACAATGAGCTGTCAGAGAACAAGTCCCTTGTAGCCTTCATGTCATTTCATTTTTGCACATGATGCACTGAACTGGTTGATTCGGCTGTTATTTACCTCGTTTCATTGGAGGCTGTTAGGGAAATGAGGCTTGCACAGGAAGGTGCTGTCAGAGCCACTTTGCAACAGTTGCTGGAGATCGTCCTTTTTCTACCTGAAATAGGAGGCAGGAGTGCCATGCACTCTTTTGTTTTTTACTCAGTCATCTCCTTCAGGCCTGAAAGGTGGGTTCAGATTTATAGCTTTCTCTGTGAAAGACAGCAGAGCTTACTTGGTTTCAGCTGAATTTAGCCCAAAGCAGAAGCCTAGTGGTGTATCCCACAGAGCTAATCAAAGGAGTTACATTCTTCACCTTAGATTTTTTTTCTACTTGAAAGCATCAGGGTTTCTTTGAGAATATGGCATTATGCAACTCCCGACAGGCTTTACCGACTACTCCTTTCTTTCTGAAAACATTGATTCTCCTGTTTCTGCTGCCTTATAAATTAAAGGGCTTCTTAGTAATTAAGAACTGGCCTCATGTTACCAAAGCAGATAAATGCTGAGCAAAATTGCAGACATCCTGGGAGCATGCCTCAGACTCTTCATGGTCTTCTTGCTGGAGGATCTTAAAGGACATAAAGCTCAGGAGAGTGACCTTTCCTGTCATGTCTGCTATAGCCCAGGTAGAGAACAAACAGTTGAAACTTCACCGATTCCTACCTATAGGATCTAAAAATATTCCCTTCCCTCACTTTCTTTCTCAATATCTTGAGCAGTGCCACAAAATATTTTAATGGGGGAGACTAAGGACATATTTCTACAAGACATGCAAAATCTCTTATGCCATTAACTATGGGATGAGAGATTTGTAGGGCTGAAAAAACTTGTGTGGGATTTGAGACTTAATTACTTTGTCCTTTTCTGCACAGGGAACAAACACCAGTGATGGCAGAAGCACTTGCTATGTCCAGCTGTATCTCTAGCTGCTTAATTCTGAAGGAGATGGTGGAGGGAGTTTTGGTGGTGGTGGGAGATGTGATCATCACTACAAATGCTTGGACTGCAGGTTTTGCAATATTCCAAGCTAATAGGTCTGATGGACAAAGTCAAAAGCTTGATTTATAGTGTTGTCTGTAAGAGACAATTACATCAGAGAACAGTGCAGGGTAAAAAGTGTTGGCCAGAAGGCCAAGTAGCATCATAAAATACATTTTTCCATTTTTCATCTTGACGTTCAGTTGTCATAGAGTTTGTGACTGATACTTGCAGAAATACAGTTTTGATTTTTTTTTACTTAAAAAGAAAATTTGAGACAACACTTATAAAAGAGTGTCAAGATGAAATAGAAAGAATTTTTAATACAAATTATAATGGACATTTTCATTATTTTTATTTTTCTAGACCGTAGTCGATCTGAAATTGATTTGAGTGAATCTTTTTCTGAAGGAAAAGAGGATACCCTGAGTATAAGAAGCAAATCTGTACCTAGTGCCTTAGATGAGGACCTGGTGAGTTTATAAATATATGAATGTTTATCTAGCAGAAATCCTGTTTGTAGTAATTAAAAAAGTAATTAAAAAAAATAATTTGGGTAATATTTAATGTATTTTTAAACAGCTAAACAGCTTCCTTTTTTTTTTTTTTTTTTTTTTTTTTTTTTTTTTTTTAGCAGACAAAGCTCCATCCTTCTTTTCCACCACTGTTGCTGATCTCTTCCTGTTTAACATTTTCTCCCATACATTTTCATGCCTCTTTCTATGTATTCTGTATGGACTGCCTTTCCTGAACTGATTATCAACTTCCCCCTCATATTATGCATATATTCAGGATACACAATTTGCAGATGTGCATCAATTCCATAAAAAAAATACCAGCTTGTTAAATATGCATGAGGAGAAAAAAGGAGTAATTCAAGTATTTCTTCATAGTTTGTTTTGAAGTTTCCGAATGTGTGTGTTTTGCTAAAAAAGAAAGAGAAGAGAAAAAAAAATTACCTGCTGCAACAGTAATGTTTTGTCTGTTTTCATAGTACTTCCCTACCTATCTGATCTTTTCAAGGGGGCATTGGCCATGGGGTTGTCTCCCTTTCTTGTAGCATTTGATACTTGGAAGTTGCTGGAAAAACACATGTTGGGATTCCCATCTATTTTTTGGTTTGTAACCACTCAGCGAATTTTCCTGCAGCACTGCTTTCTTTGGATTCATTATTTAGGAAATGAAAAATCCATTCCTATGTGTCAGATTTATGTTGAAATAAACTTTCAAAAATAAATGTTTGGGGTTGTAATTTAGTAAAAGGTTGTGTTCTTTATTAAGAAGTTGGGAAAGATGGAAGAAGAAAAGCATGCGATAAGAAAATAAAAACTTTAAATATCTAACATTGGTTTCCTGCTATAGTTGTACAGAGCGTGATAGTTATCACTCAGGGATTTTTCTGAAGCAGAGATCAGAAATGCCGAGTCCAGAGTGGTTTTCTGTTCTTTGATTTTTGTCTTCCTTGTATTCAGTGTTGTTTTTTTTTTTGCTGACTCCAAGTGCAATTTCAGATTGCATCTCAGCAGCTCTCCAACTCCTTTGGTAAGAAGTTTTTTTCTTCAGTGTTACCATGGTTTTTTTTAGGGTAGCTTGATGCGTGGGACTCCTTCAGTGTTTGCCTTCATTGTCATACCTTCTGGCATTCACTATGTTTTGAGATGAAGGTTGAACTCCTGCTGGAGTTTAGGTGTTGTGGTGCTCGATTTAAGAGACAAAAATGAGGATGTCTGATGAAAGTAATAACAGCTCCTTTGGTCTGGGAAAAGTTATGCCTTCCTTCCTCCTGGCTGGCTGGTGGATGCGGCCGAGGTCCTTTAGGCTCTTACTCCCGGGTGATGGGAGTTGGCAGCAGTGGTGTGGGAGGTGCCACATGTCAATAGGAGAAGCAGATTGCTGGAATTTGTCAGCTGAAAGGGTTGGAAAAGCCTTTTAGCTTCTTTGCTCCCAGTTTTATCAATAAAACCCCTTAAATTTGCAGAGAAATGATCTGGAGGACTGAATGGGTATTTTCCTTCTCTAACTGATACTACTCTTGGTAGGGAAAAGGGACAATGCTCAGAAACCCGCATGCTGTGGGAGGTGTTTTTCAAGGAGTACAGGGAGACAGTTAAACATAGGGCTGCTCTCAAGAGCGAGCACCTTATCTAGAAAGGTGTGTGCCAAATTCCTGACCAAGTAGTGTTCATTACATGCTCAGCTGCTGTATTAGAAGTAATCGGATAATGTGCATTTTATAACCCCCCGCTGGAGACCTCGAGATTAATGTCCTACCAGCTCTAACTTTAATAAGCTTTTATAAGCTAATAACACTAACCAATTATGTCGCTGCTGTTCTGTAACACCTCCTGAGAAGCATAATCACTGTAGTGCAAAATGATTTAAGAGCTTATGTTAAATATTAGCCATTTGTCTTTATGTTATATATGTGGTTGAAGACAAAAATCGGTGATCAACTAGCTGTCTCTGTGAAGTGCTGTCAGTATTTGAGTGTCAAAACCTGAAACACCCCAGTTTAAAGTTGTTACCTTAATTTTTTTGTCCTGTATTTAATTATACAGCAATCAAATTGTAGCATTGTTTATTTTTAAGTCCACGCAGTGTAAAGGAAAAAGTTTGGGATGTATTACCAGAATTGCTTCTTCCTGATGTATTGGCAGGAACAAAATCAATGAGGAGAGTAGAAGTGAAGTGGTTCTTTTGTTTGTTTTGTTTTTGTTTTATTTTTGTTTTTGTTTTGTTTTTGTTTTATTTGTTTACTTTTGAAGGATTTGGCAACCTGTCTCCCCAGAATAGTTTGCTGCATCTCCATGGACTTTTTCCTTAGAGTATGAAGTATCCGTGACTTTTCTTTGTTCTGTGGGGTGCCGTATTCAGAGCAGAAAGGAAAGAGACCGACAGAGGAGGCTCATTGCAAAAACATGAAGCTAAGAGGATTTTTTGCTTCAGTATGTGAATTTTGGTCCCAAATAAAGTGATGGCTTGTCCTCATTTCCTCTTGCTCAACATTAAATATGCACAAATGCAATTGGAAAGTAGTAATAGAAAATTTTGCATCGCTTTCAGCTGGTTTTATTTCAGTACAGTCACTAGAGGAAAGGAAAAGAGAAATAACAGCTAGCTTTATGCATACTAATAATGAACGGTCTGCAGATCTTTACAAAAATTGTGACAGTTCAACTCTCCTGCAGCATTTATTTTCTGTTCTTTTTTTTTCTGATTAGCACAGAAGTCCAAGACCCCTTACTTCAAATACACTACATCTCTGCTTAGTTTAAGGGAGGGAGAGAATGAGTGAGCAATAGTGAGGCAGGTCACCACATGGGACTTCATAGCTGCACAGCAGATATAAGGGGTTTGAACATTCAATTTCAATTAAAACTGAAAACAGGCCTCAAAATACCTGCCACAAGGCTTCAGGAAACCTGAAGCTTCCAAGCTACTTTCAATAGGATGACAGCTGTCTGATTTTTTTCATGTAACTTCAAGTTAACAATCCTATTAGGACTGTCAGTTGGACTTTCAGTTTCATGTTGGGTTTTACTTTAACGCTGTGTTTGAGAAATGAAAATATTTTTCCCTGGATATAATCTAAAGGTGTTAGAATTCAGTGTTATTAAAATTCAAGCATATATATGAAGGTGTGCAGTTACTGATTTTTATGCTGTTTTTATTATTGAAATAGTACATGAAAGTAATAATTATAAAAAAAATATACACATCTGTTGTTTTTTTGTTGTTGTTATTTGCACTTCAAATATATTCAGTGTGTATGATGTCAGGACAAGTTTCTTTCCATGTGGTTTGACAATAACCTGGGACTTTCAGCCTTGCCTGTTAGAAAGCATGTCCACGTTTGTGATTGTGTTTGTAGAGTCGTCATCTGTCACCAAAGATAGCATGGAAAGGTGCAAGTGTAATACTAACTGTGAGCTTGTCTGTTAGTGTGTGAGAGCGTGACTGATATAAATGTAGACAATAATCAGAAAGCTGGATCACTGGATTGTAAAAATAAATCCAATAAAAACATGGAACCTGGATTGTAACCACATCAGTCATCTATTGGTGGTAGCTTCTGACTACAAATGGCTTCAGGTAAGCCAGTATCAGTGATCCCCTGACTGGTATCAGAGCTTAATTTACTGGTTCCTTTTGTTAAGATTTGAAAAATGCTGACTATGTCCCTCTTAACATTTCCAAACCTAAACTCCTGAATGCTAATAGCACTAAGTAAAATAAGGTAATTTGAAGGGGATTGTTAGCAGGTGTGGAAGTGGATTTTGTTTATTAGTACAGTTATTGGGCATACAGAGTTATATGCCTACAGAAGAAGTCAGGAAACACGCGTGACATATTTTTTTTTCAGTTCTTAAGCAATCGAAACCTGAAATCCTGGTGACCTCTTTTCCCTTTCTGCTATGTGCAAAGATGTGGAAAATGTAAATCTAAATCCCTCTAGAGATTAGAATTTTGAATGCATCATGTACCATCTTCCTGAAGTAGAAAATACATGAAACAAAACCAATTTGGTTGACTAAATATAGAGCAGAACACAATGACTGAATTCCCTGTTGTTGTTTTTTGTCGTATAGGATTACCTAGATGAAACAGAAGAAGATATTGATGACATAGTGGCCTCTCGTTATTCAAGGAAACATGGACATCTGACAAATGCATTGTCAAGAGTAAGTTCCTGAGTGGAAAACAGATGCTTTTTCATCTTATGTAAGACTATTCTTCCAAAATGGAGTTTAACGTCATACCACTTAGCAGCATTCTGTTTTATATTTTAGTAGTTTTCTTAACAATTTATAACAGATCATTTTTCATCCTGCACTTGAGAAACATCCTTTAACTTTTAGATAGTTTTTCTGACTCTTATATTTTTAATGCTATTCAAAGCTAAGATGCTGTTCTGCAGAGCACATGGAAAGCAAGAACCATGTCGTGTTTGCAGATTTCTCTACATATTCAAGTTACTACCAAGCTGATATTTGGGAAGGCAAACCATAGATGTTTGCAGTATGTGACTACTCAGTTTTGCAGAGGAGCACTTAATCTTAATTTACTTGAAATGAAGAGAGCAAGGCTGTGGTGGGATATGCCATCTGATTTAACTTTCTAAATGTTAAGTTTCTTGGGACACAAATAGTTGTTTGTGTATTTGCATGCATGCCATTTCTGTCCACCCCCCAAGCCTAGCTTCTCCCATTCTCCATGAGATGTTGGGGAGGTGGGGGGGTTGGATTTGTGACAACTTTTCTATTTCCTGAAATAATTGTATTTTTTTCTGCCATACTTTTTTTTTTTTTTTTCCTTTTGTCATGCCCACAAACTATATAATGTAAATCATCTGTTCGAGTCTCATGGTTACCTAACTGTTGCAGCTTAGTGTTGGTCTTGAAAGGATGGTTGCATTTTCAGGTTGTTACAGGTGCTTGAGATGCAACAAAATTGGTATAACAAGCCCTCTGTAGCACTTTTTACAGTCTGTTATTCACTGGGAAAGAAAATAATTGATAAAAATAGCCTTTAACATGCTTATAAATACTTGCTGTGTTGCACATTTCTGGGGCCTGACATGCAGGATGTGAACAACTCATAGCATCTTCAGTAAAGTCACAGAGCCCTCTCTGGCCACTGCTCTTCATGCCTTGTGCTAAGAATAGCTCTGGTGAGCACACAGAGTACCAGTAAGCTGCAACAAACACGAAGAAGATGAGAGAGTTCAGGAGGATGAAGAGACCTGAGGAGTTCTATGCTAAAAGGAAAGAGATAATATGGTCTATGACATTAATCAGTGAGCTGTCCTTTCTGGACTGTATCTGCATCAGTCTCCATGCAGGTAACACCCAGGGAATGCTCATTTCAATTCTCAATCCCAAAGAGATGGTGTTGGCTGAACGCAAGCTCAGCTTACCTGGGGAGGAGAAAGAGCTGAGAGAATTGCCATTGAAGAGCATTGTGGTATTTTAGATCTGACCATGTCCAGACTGTTTTCCCTTCTAATTTCTGTAATTCGCAGAAACAGATGCAACAGGGATGTGTGGCACCTCGCACCAAATCAGACCTGAGCAAATGTAGCTTTTTTGGTATTGGTCTAACATAACCCACTTTCCTGAGGTTGACTGTGACTCGCTGTCTTCAGTCCTTGCTGGTCCCATTGATTCTGTAGGCAGAATTATTTTTCTTTCCTTTGAAAATTAATATGAGGGTTGCAGGTGCTTAAGTGCTTTCTCAGTTTAGCCCATTAACTGAGGGACGGCGTTTGGAGAACCTTCCATCTGCGTGCTGTAGGTAGTACTCTGCATTGGGTTTTGTCTGTTTCTGTAGATTTCCCTTCAACCATTTTCTTAAGCAGAGCACAGCTTTTCCTCTGCTGTAGGTTTGAGGTAATCTCAGATCTCAATGTTCTTGTTTCTTTGTATTCACCCTGAAATGAATGTTCATGTCCTTGCATCCTATGCTAATGGAGAAGTTTTGAATGGCAAAGCTGCTTCTCCCTGCTGGAGCAGGTCAGTTTTACAGGTTCTTTGTGACTTTCTTTAAGTGTGTTTTACTAGTTATTCCCTCTCTCTCTTATTTTGGCCTTTTCTCTGCTTGTTGTATGCCTTTGAGCCTTCTGTGTTGCAGAGAATTTTCTCTACGTTATTATGTCACATTGAAGTAATGTTGTTAATGAAAAGTAGGTTCTGACTGCATCTTTTTTTATTAAATACGATAATTTAAAGTACTGCATAGGTATTCTAACAGTGAACATTTGAGGTTAGAGGTTATTGAGGTTATTTCAGAAGGGTAAAGACACTTAAATCTACCTGTATTGTGTGTGGGCTAAAAATGGGAATGAAAAGTGACACTGAACAGGAATTGCATCTCAGCATTAGGGATATTGTTGCCTGTGTTTACCCAAAGCTAATACATGAACTTTGTATTGCATTTTCCCTGCATCCTTCACTGATTCCTCTCCTAAACACATTAATGTGTTGTTGTCAAGGACCATCACGTCAGTAAATCTGAGTTTTTCCAGTGTCTTACTGCACCGATAAGAGATGCAAAACAAATGTAATTCTTAGTGAGGGGCTAAAGCGAGGCTCAGCAACCTCCATACATGTATGTAGTGGTTGTTTACTGTGAAAGTGGAAAATAGGTAGATTTCCCAAGGATATTGCATTTAGCATGTGTAAAGGCCATTGTAAATGCCACAGAATAGAGTCTGTGGGGAAAGAAGTCAAATATGTCAAATATTTCTACTGAATATATGTTGTTTTGTTTGTGGATTTGTTTTCTGAATGCAATTCAGAAATTGCATTTGTATAAATTCTAGCATCAGAGGTCAGCTATTTGTTTAGAACAGTTTGTTTGTTTTCCCAGGTCATTGCCCCTTTATTACCAATGTACCTAAAGATAAAGAAAAAGAATACTTGGATTCAGAAGAATAACTATTCTAATAACTATTCTCCCTCCCCATGTTGGTGTAACCTTGTTAGTTTTCTGAGGTGGGCACATGCACTGTTATTTTCCCCTTACAGGGATAATGTTGGCATTTTGTAGCACATACTGGGATCTTTGAGTTCACTAACAGTGCCCAAGGATACCCATTTTATTTATGCTAGAGGTGGGAGTGCATAAATGGTAAAGGCTGAAATTTAGCTTGAGGCATGATAAGAATAGGAAGAAATATGACACATTTGTCAGTGTGTGCTGCTAATTGTCCTGCAGTCTTGTTCACGGAATCTCAGTCAACCATACAATGTAATAAAAGGGCAAGCTTTATTTCTTCTTCTTCTTCTTCTTTGTTGTTGTTGTTTAAAAGAAATTATAAAGAAAGCTAGCCCAAATTAGAAAAACAAACAAAAAGAAAAATACAAAAATTATGAAATTTTTGCTGTTTATTATTTCTACATTATGTATGAAATTAACATTTTTGGATTTTTATTTTTTTTTATTATTTTTTAAGAATGATTGCTTGTTTAGTTTTAAATCTCCCCTGCTGTTCACCATGTTGACACAAGCCTGCTTATCACTCCAGCTTTCTTTGCTGCTGAGCCTTCAGACAAGATGGTTGGAGATTTGCATTGTCACAGACCAGTTCTTTTTGTGTTGCCCTTCCTTTCAACTCTGTCCTTCCTTCCTCCCTCTAGCTGCTAGGGAACAAGGTAGCTCAAGATGTAGTTAATTTCCCATGAATTCATTAAGTTAGACTGCCATAAATTGCTCAAATGAGCAGAGGGGGTAAATGCTTTCCCCATCATTCTGTTACCATACTTTTTTTTTTCCCCCAGAGTGACATGTTTAAACATGTATATGTGTTTTTTCACATATCATTACAAACTCCACAGAGAAACTGCATTTTTTTTTAACAAAGGGACCAACTCTGCAATATATGAATGCTCACCTTTTGATGAGATTAAAAAAGAATTAAGTTCATGGGGACATAAATGGACGACATCCAAATACAATCCAATACAAACCCAAATTTGCTGAGTTGGTGTTCTAAAATATTTTTTTTTCTTTTGATACAGCAGATACTTCACTTTGATTTTATTACTTTGAGCCATGTGCCCTTCAGTGCCCTTCAATACTTGATGTATATAGAAAAGACTTTGCATTTCCTCTGATTTGGTCATGCCTTTTCCTTTTCTCTCACTATAGCTTTGCAATGCAAACTTTATTTACCTGTCTGTATCAGTAAAGCTTTTTCACTGCACTTATTCTTTCCTATTACAGCTACCTAATGCTCTTTTCTCTTGACCTTTTCCACTGCCTTCTTTAAAGAACTTCCCAGAAGCCTCTGACAGAAAATGGACCTACTTAAATGTGCCTGAAACAGATGGTGATACTGTGAGTTCTCCTCAATCCTCTGCTTAGCTTTGAAGGTTTCTCTCTTTTATCCCTCTGTGTTCAAGACTGTGCCTGTCTGTCTTGCAAGCTTCCTGTGTGATAGCATTTATATGGTTATGCATATTCTTGAACAGTCTTGCTCAAGGACTCAAACCAAAATGTACACCAGATTTCTAGAATGCCTTTGGTTCCAGTGGTATGCACATTGCTCCAATTTTCTTTAAAAACATTTAGTTCTTTCCTGATTGTCATCTTTTGAAAGAGAATATCCACATAGCAATATAACATAGGGTATCAGTGAAAAGAGATTGGGTTGCAATATATTATGCCACAGTGGAAAATTTTGTGGGATTTTTGCTAAACCTTTTCTGGCTTTAGGAAAATTGCATAAACAATGGGTATCGGAAGTTTGCTTGTATGAGAGATTGGTGTCACTTTAACCAAACATGTTTTTTATCATCTTCATTACAGGAATCATCCTTATAACCTTTTCTAATGGTTCTGTCAGCAGTTATCTCATGAGACTCAGTAAAAATCAGGTGGACAGTGGAGGCAGTGAGGTCATTTTTATCTGCTTAGAACTTATGTGAGCTTACGGTTTATGTAGCCTGACTGCTCTTCAGCTCGTGCATGAATTAAATGGCGGTAATTTAGATTAAGTCATGTTTATAAATAGATTTGAGTCCCGTGTGTAAAAAACATCAGCAGTCTAGACATTTATGCTATTTATGCTAGTTGCAGTTCCTACTCCCTTTACATCAAATAGACTCAGGTAACATTTCTCTTCTATCCTATGTCTCTTTTCATAGCAAGTCCTAACAAGGGAGACAGTATTGCAGGGTTGTGGCTGAATGAAAGAGCAGATTCGGGAAATAAAAATTGTTTAAGCTTCTAAGTCCTTTCTCTCTCCCTCCAGACAAGCATAAACAGCATGCTGAGCGTATATAGTGAAACTGGTGACTATGGTAACGTGAAGGTCAGCGGTGAAATCCTTCTCCAAATCAACTACAGCTACAAAACAGGTGCCCTCAACATCTTGGTGAAAAGTTGCAGAAACCTGGCTGTTGCAGATGAGAAAAAGCAAAGGACTGATCCGTAAGCACAGAAAATTCCTTTTTAGGCCCCGCTATGGCTGTCCTCTGACACATTGCTCTCTGTAGTCATCAGTGATGTAGCCTGGGGTTGTGATACAAACCTGGGAATTCATAAGATCCAGTTGCTACAAGCCAGTGTTTGGGTGATGGTTGGTTTTGGATTCCCTGTGGGAAATGCATTTCCAATATATTCCTTAGGGCAGCATGGACATATTCTGGGGAAACAATATTACTTAAATTATCAACCTGTTTGCTAGCAATCCCTGCAAAAGGACAAAAAATATGAATGCATAGGGAGACTGAATTGATTTCTTACTTTTAGAAGCAACACTGAAGTATATGATGGTGTTTCAGAGGGAGGGAGGGTAATAGCTTTGTGGTTTTCATGCTGTGAATCCATAGATTCACTTTGCAAGGACTGTGTTTTGTGAGAGTCTTTTAGATTTCTGAGTATTCTTAGTTTTCAGAATATAATGTAAACTCTTTCATAGTTAGAAATTAATAATTTATATCTCTAATCATGTCTAATCCTGTTATATGTAAGGTATAAAGTTTTTAATTCTCCTGTATTTTCTGTGTATGTGTTGTCAGATGTAATCAGTCAGTAATCATATACTACAAAAGCTGAAGTGCTAGGAAAGCTTTCTGCAAATTAGTTCTGTAAATTAATTTAGCCCTTTTGTTACTCTGAGCCTATGAGAACAACATCGCAATGTTTCTAGATAAAGTCCATACCTTTCCATGTTTCACAAAGTCTGTTACATGTGTGTGTTGTTTAGACTGCAAAAATTAATTTCCTCATATATTTTACTGATGCAGGAATGGCACGTCCTTGCTCAAACTAGTCATTTCTATTCCTTGCTAATAATTTACTACTTAATCTGCAGATATGTCAAAGCATACCTCCTGCCTGATAAGTCCCGCCAAAGTAAACGCAAGACCAAAATTAAAAGCAACAGCACCAATCCAGAATTTAATGAAACGCTGAAGGTGAGAACACTGTCTCTCTCATGGGCTGTGATGAATGTCCTACTTGTGCTCACAGGCGTTTTCTGTAAGTGCTCCAGTATGGGGATTAGACCTTGGAAGTGATGCCTCAAAGGGAAGGTATTTAAGCAAAACATCTAGGAATCAATCCTATGAGTTTTAATTTCTGGTTTTCAGCATTGAGGAATTGTTTTTGTTTGGTTCTCCCCTCTACAGGTAAAACTTACATTACTTTCCACAGATCTCTTCCAAAACTGTTGATGTTCCCATCTAACCTGAGCTCAGAGTTCTTATACATACCTTAAAGATTTTGAAAGCCCTAAGTTACAACTGTACTGAGGTAGAACTAGCTTAAAAAATCCTGTCTAACTGAGTTCTAAGAGAAAATAACCTTTAGCAGTAAAAGCTCTTTGATAGCTAGCAAAGCTGTTGTTGGCATTTTACTGTGTTCCTAAAAAGCTGATTGAAGTGCATTTTATGTTGCAAAAGAAAATGATAGACTACTGCCTTGACTGGTAGAGCCCAAGTGCCCGTGATCTTTCCATTCTTTTCTCATACCCATGTCCAGCCTACAGAGGCTGGAAAGGTTTTGTGCTCCTCACAAGCCGCTTATTTATCTGCTTGGCTTTGTGGTGTAGGGCGGAATGGTAGAGTGTGAATGCCCGGCTCACTGCCTGGCACCTGGACCACAGGCTCCTGGTGATTCTGCTTGCTGTCAACCAACAAGAGTCATCCCAGCCAGCTGTCACAAAGCCAGAAACTTTCCTGTATTATCCTGAAAGACTCTGAGGGAAAATTCAGTGATTAAGTAAATAAGTTTCATATAATAGATGCTAATAGATGTTCCTTGGCCAGTGTACTTGATCTGACCTGGCTACAAAACTATTTTGCAAACTTACACATACATGTACTTGGTCTGGCCAGGCTGCTTTCCAAGGGAGAGTATGCTGCACAGCCTCATTTTTAAACGGTTTCTAGTAAAGTTAAGATTTGCCTGAACTGGAGGGGAGAAAAAAAAAAAAAAAAAAAAAAAAAAGGTGTTAGACTCTTTTTAGCAGGGAATGTAGTTAGCACTGAACATGTTTGCTAGTAGGGAACTGCAGGAATAGGACCTAGCAGCTTGCTAAAAATGCAGATTGTGTCAAAGAGGGCTTACTTGTATTGTTGATAGGTAAATGAGAGCTAGATCTAGTTGCTGCAACTGGTATTACCATTAAAAAAAAAAAATACATCTATATCTTCCATCTTTGGCTTGTATTCTAGTATTGCTGAATAGTGCAGCTCTCACAGTTGGCATCTAAGATATGAGCATTGCAGACATATCTATGCATTAATAGCCTACTTGTGTGGCTAGCCAACTGACTTGAATGTTTCAGCTTCTGGAGAACACGTCTATGTCCAGACATTGTTCCTGAGAACAAACAGAAAAGAAGACATCTGGATCTCCTCAATTAACACTAGAAGAAGGGTAAATTTCATGGAATTAGTAAGCCTTTCCCTGAAAGCAGAGCAAGAATTCCAGATGTTTATAATTTTCTATATATTTGCTAGAATATGTTGCTACCTCAGAGGAGTTTTTAATAGCTTTCAACCTTGCTGCATGAAAGGTGCTACTGAGACATTTTGGTGAATGCTTTGCAGATACGATTTTACTTGTTTTCAGAATAATTTTTTACAAGTTACAAAGATAAAACTGAATAGGAGAAGAAAACAGTGTACAGCAACCTCTCTTTAGGGATGAAAGATCCAGTGGGGCTTCTTACAAAATAAACTTTGGTGTTGATCTACTTCTTTTACATAAGCTATAAGGAATTAACGGGATGATTGTTTTAATCATAATTATTTACTTTATAGCCATAAATACCCAGTAAGTAATACAGAAAAAAAAAAAGAAAAGAGGTTTAACAGTTCCCTGTGAGATTTCTAGCTATAGACAGCTTATTTGCAACGAAAACAAATTTCTCTTTCATGCTCCATTTATTAACTGCTGCGGGTTTCATGAAATTTAGCTATTGCTGTAAAAGGCTCCATGGAAACTATTATTTGTGCTTATTCTGAGGGTTCTTTTTTCTGTTTTTCTGTTGGTAGTATGTCATCAGTCATACACAGCTAGAAACCAGGACCCTGCAGCTTTCTGTCTGGCACTATGACAGATTTGGACGCAACAGCTTTCTTGGAGAAGTGGAAATTCCATTCGATTCCTGGAACTTTGAAAATCAGGGCGATGAGTGGTTTGTGCTCCAGCCCAAGGTAAGGATTTCCAGGGGCCAATGAAACTGCTGAGAAGCAAATTTAGCAAGGCTTAGTTATTTTTCCTTTGGAACACGTTTGTAAAATGGTGACTTTGTGATTGTCAAATGTAGCAATAAAAATAGTATCTTTGTGTTTTATTCAATCAAAACCCACCATTCCTGAAGTCTTCATGAAAACTTTTTATCTGGTTGGCCACTTGAACAAACAAAACCCAGCACTTTAAATAATATATAAGTTTGTCTTGCAACAAACTGCAGAGGAAAAATGAACTTGTAAAGAAATTGATTTATTTTTTTTCTTCCAGAAAATAGCAGATGAACCAAGGAGCTTCTTTGCCACTCCCCCCTATCCAACACTGAGCAGTTCAGTAAAGCAAAAGACCCTTCTTGTTTCAATTCAATATGTTTCACACTTTTCAGTGGTAACAAAATGACTTATTAAGCTCTTATTCACCATGACTAGGAAGGTGTAAGATGAGGCTTCTCATCAGGCAAATCAGTTGGTTTATGAAATAGGACTTTCACTGTACTTAGCTAAGGATAGGATGACTTCCGTCTTTAAGGCACCCCCTGCTTTGGCAAAGGTGTTTATTTTTGGAAGAGATTCAAAGAGCTGTTGTAAGCTCGAGGATTAAAGGTTTCTCAGTTGCTTGCTTCTGCAGCAGCTGGAATCCCTAGGAATTTCAGGGGCTTAAATTGCTATTTCAGAAAGTTTATTTTTCTTGTTGTAGAAAAATTGAAGATTGTACTGCAAATGACGTGGAGATAGACTCAGATGACTCCTTTGTTCTGTGTTCATTATATTTAAAGAAATATTATATTTAGGGTTTAGGAGGGACTGTTTGATTTGTGTCTTATCCTCAAATGTCAGATGAGTCTGATTGCTTTATAATTTCCTGGTATAGCCCTTTTTGGTGCTAAGCCATCACAAATTTATACCTCAGTAAATAATTAGCCAGAAAATACATAAGGAAACTGGCCTCCTTTTAACACTCAGACACCTCCTGCTTTAAAACTGGCATGGAAGATCATTCCTAGTTTCCTCGTTGAGCTTTATTAATGAGAGTGACCATCAGCTTTTCCTTCATAGCCCAAAAGGGGGATGAAATACCAGGAAGAGAAGGTGGCTAATGAAGACAAAAAAAACTCCAGTCAGTGCTGTGTCCAGGCGAGGGTTATACTATCCTTCTTGGATAACGTGGAGAACTTTCACCCAACTTGCATCATGTAGTTTGCTTTTGTTGGGTCTATGCTTGGGGTAGACTAAATGTCTGCTGCGCCTCTGTTGTGTCCTTGGCTGGTGTTGGATGTTGCTCTTATTTAGTACCAAGCATTCTACCATGGTCGATGTATCTTGTATTTGTTTTGCTTACACTTTGTATGCAACATTGGTCTGAAATTGAGTGTCTTTTCATGCAGTAATCTGTCTTCTCCGTTCAATCTCCGGGGGCTTTCTATGGGTGGTTTCTTTTAATCTAACAGGAAAGAAAAAAAAAAAAATGTCTTGAGACAGTCCTGCTCAGGAAAAATAGTAATGATGTGTTAAGCATTTTAGCCATTCCAACTGGAAGGTCTTGTCTGGTTATTTCCAAAGCTGTTAAAAGGACTTTTAAACTTTTTCTTTTTTACCAAAGAAAGCAAACACAAAATTGGTCTTGTCTGCTTCCTACATTGTTACAAATTATGTTTCTGAACTTAAAATGCTGCTAAGATTGTTGTCTGGCAAAGATAATATTGTTCCTGAAAGATAAATTATTGCATTTTGAAATTTAAAAAAAAAAAAAAAGTACAGGTTAGCATACAAACAAGTTACATGCTGTTCTCCCATATGAATTGCATGATATAGAAAGGAATGGCAATGAAATGTTCCCTGTGTTTTACTACATTGCTTTGTTTTATCATGAATCATTTAGCTGCCTTAGTGAAAGTGTTGGAGACTTAAGACCTATTTTTTTCTATGAGCACTGCGTGGCCTGTTTTCAAGAGGAATATGGTTAAATCAGAAAATAGTTCTGTGGTTAAGGAGGGGAGCAGAGTCTAGAGTCACGGTATATGCGGCTTTGGAGAGGGGAAGGTTGGCAAATTGTTCCTGATGTAAGAACTTATGCTGTCATTTGTCTACCAGTAAAACAGAAAAAATAATCCTTGCTGACTTTATGGGAAATTTGATGCTAAACCTACATAGTTTAGGCCCTAAATGAACTGCCTAACTAGCAAGATTTAAATGATGATTTCTTGTTGTTAAAATTATTCCACAGCCATTTGCTACAGCTTTTATTTTGTCCTCTGTTGTAGCAACTGGCATCAGTCACTGGTGCCATCGTGCTACTTCTAAAGACTATTGTGTGTTGTTTCTGGGCGAAATTCAAACATTTCAAAAGAAAAGGAACCTGAAATATTATTGGGTGGAAAAGGACACTGAGAATTACCTTAGTTTTTAGTTTTCTATTTCAGAGCTGGACTCTGCTCTCTTCTGCTGTCATAGTTCCTCATATCTCTATTTCAACAGTGACTCAGGAGTGACACTTCTAAAATAAATGAAACCAATTATGGATTTAAAACCCAATTGGGGTAAAAAAGGCCATCAGAATGTCAGCTTAAATTAGCTACAGTTTATTTCTTGAGAAATAAGTTCGAGTTCTTTGTTTATTTGTGTCACTCATTCATGCTAGGTCTCTCCTTCCTGCTTTTGTTCTCTGCACTGTGTCTAATGCCATGTAGCTTTGTTCTTCTGAGAGCTTGAACTCTCTGATTCATAAAGTTTTCTAAAATGTGATTGTATTCAATCTGAAATGTTAAATTATGTGAAAGTAGGAAGATAAGTCTTGATATATTTAAGAAACATTTCAAACAGTATAGGTACAATAAAATATCAAATGGAGAAAGTGAATGATTAACCTTAGCTGGATTTATGGTTTTTTCATTATTTTTTTTCCTTTCAGGTGGAGGTTGCAACAGATGTTGGACTTCAGTATAAAGGAGAACTGACAGTTGTTTTACGTTACATTCCCCCAGACAGAAACCTAATGCTTCCTCTAGGGCAGTTTCAAGGTAAAGCAAACATTAATGGTAATTTATGATACCATCCCCCTGAGTATTAAAAATTCTCAACTAGTATGAAGTAATGGAATTAGAGAAGATTGAAATTAGACTTAAATATATTAGTTGTCTTTATCTGTGTAACTTTTGAGTCGTGAGTATGTTTCTCTTCCTCTATCCTCTTCTGTTACATTGGACCTAAGGAGAGGGAAGGGAAAGAGGAGTGTGCCATAGTCAAGTATTGGTGCATCGATTTGACCTAATTAAAAAATGCTCAGACGTTAGTTAATATGATCAAGGACAGCCACATACAAATAAATCTTCTAAATTGTAGTCTGTGTTCTTTGTTCAGCTGGCTACATACAGTGTATAGCTGATCAAAGTAACAGACTTCCCTTAGTTCCTCTTGCTTAACTGTCTATAACTTTACCTATCTCCTCATTTTAAGTCTTTTTCATGCTTCTTTAACTTCTGTTCAGTTTTGCCATATTACACTTCTAATTCAATCCTGTAAAACGTTATTTGAATTGTTTAGGGCAAGCCATTATTTTCATTAGTAGTGAGCAATGGATAATACAGTTACTTACTCCTTGCATTGTAGTAGCATGAGGAACAGCAATCATCTAAAGAGAAATCAGTCACTGGATAGCACCTGAGATGTACCAGGTACAGGTAGTCCAAGAAGAGTTCTTTCTTAGTGACAATATTGCTATTTAGCATTAGGATTAGATAGGTATAAAAGATATTTTTTTATTTTTTTTTCTTTCTTTTTTCTTTTCTTGATAAATGATATTCCCTCTGCTTGAAATAATCCCAAGGTTTTTTCTCTTGAAAGCTAATCACTGTCTGAAAAGTATGGACATACACTGCATTTTTTTAATTAGTAACACTTTAACATCACTCTTCATCCTTTTTTTCTTCTGATGTTTCCAGTCCCAAACAGCGTGCATGATCCCTGATTACACCTCCCTTAGAATCCACAGCGTCAACAAGTACATGTGTCCTCATGTAGCTGTTCAAATGCGGTAACATGTCAGTGAGCACCGTGTCCTTTGCCATGGAGTATGAGGAGAGGAGCAGTTTGTCCTTACAAAAGGAATATACACAGTATATTTCTGCATTTTAAATTTTGGGACAGATGTTACATACCTTGCTTGTGGTGTCGGACTGCTTTAGCATCAGAGATGGAATTAGATTCTGAAAAGAGAGCAGGGCTTACAGGATGCGCAGTTCTTTCTGTTCAGCATAGTAACACACCAATGATTACATTCAGAAAGGACTTCAGTTAGGACATCCAGTTGTTTGCAGCAATGGATATCTGGTTATACAGTCAAGTTCTTTATCAAATATGGAGTGATTTTCTGCCCTTGCCTTTTCAGTTTCTATACCCTTGACAATAAGGATCTGTTTATAAGAAATGTTTTAATCCCATTGAAGGAAATGAGTGAAATAATCCAGCCAAGAGAACTTAGATGTCCAAATCAGTTTTGTAGTGTATAGTTTCTGATTATGATAACGATGTTGCAACTCTGTTGTGTATGTAGGAAAGAAGAGCTTTAAAAAAGGAAAAAAGGGAGAGACTCATCTGCCATCTGGGGGTATATTAGAAGTCCTCATCAAAGAAGCTAAGAATTTAACAGCGGTGAAATCGGGAGGCACATCAGACACTTTCGTGAAAGGGTCAGTGTTTTTTTTTTTCCTCTGCATTTTAATGGCTGTACTTGAAGAGCATTTTGACTGATCCTATTTTATTCAATATGTCTGTATATATGTGTGTGTGTGTGGGGGGGGTGTCAGTACTGAAAAGCAACGGGCCCTTTGAAATGGTATGGCGAAGGATGCTGTTGGCTATGGGCAGAGAGGTGTGAGTTGTCCTAGTGGTTAAATACCAGCATGTCTGAATTCAGTCAAGAAAGAGTATATAATCTGTATCACTGACTCCATTCAAACATACGTGTTCAGTGTGCTAAGGTGCACACTGTTATAGAATATAAACAAAACACTTCCACTGAGTTGGCAGAGAAAGGTAGGTGAACATTGGTGATTCCTGAAGGCGAGAAGATGTAAACTGGGGTTCACACGTTGGAGATGACACCTGTACCGACAGTGACATTTACATTTCCAGCAAATTGAAACTATATGTGTATATATATATATTGACTAGGAGAAGTAGCCTTGTTTTCAGGAAGAGACAAGTCTGTTTGGATTCCTCATAAAACTGCAAATAGCTTGATGGCTGCTCCATCACGCTGAGGTTCTTTCTAGTGGATGTCAACTGAAACATGCAGAAAGAGAAAACTCATGTGTGTGAGGAAAATCTGTTCTTAGTCAAGTATAGAAGAATGCTAAATGAGAAGATTTTTCTCTCTTTTACAATAAGTATATTTTTTTTGTGTTTAATTGGGAAAGATCTTTGTCATGCGGTACATTTTCAAGGAGCACGTTTAAGTCCTAAAGGTTCCCAGAAAGTCTATCACTGACTTCAAACACTGTCTTAACTCTAATTGTGTCTCATTGTTAACATTTAATATTCTTTGACAGAAGACATTTAAAAACTCTGCTCTAATGGCTTTGAGGTTTGATTTTAAAGATGCATCATTCTGAAAAATGTAGGGTCTGTGTCACTTGTATGCCTATATGCAAGTATATATATATATATATATTATTAAATATATATTTGCATCTTTTTATTCAATAAGCAGCATTTCTGTTGGACAGTGAAAATCCAGACTATTGAAAATGCTACATGTAGGACATACTTACATTTGAATAAAATGAGCATATTCCTGCATACCTCATCATATTGGATTTTTCATAAATTAAGAAAATAATGAGTTTAAAGCATTTTTCTTTGCCAGTTTTTGCTCTCAATGCTGTTTTTCAAAATTGCTGATTTTTAGATATTCTCCAGTTTATCAGTAATGGTTTGAGTCTCGTTTACTAAATAGTGACCGTACAAGAAATCCTGCCCTTGACTCCTAAGCAAAGTTGAGACTTTGTCTTAATTTTTAGTGTGCTTCGAACAATCACTAAGCTCATACACATCATATAGAAAAAGTTTGAGCTATTCTTACTATGTATTTGTTCTCCTATGCCATCTCTTTTCTGTTACATGTGAGGGCATTTCCTTTTATTGAAAAATAGTGGGTCTGACCTCGCTGTGGCTTTTTTCCACTTGGATCTTGCAACAGGTTTCATGGAGAAAATGTTTTCAAAGCCTTTTTATGTTAGCGGTAGCAACGTGTGGCCAATAATTCTGTGGAGTATTTTTAGTTAGTGGCATCTGCTCTTGCTGACATGGATTATTCAGTGTGGTGAAACAGGCGTCTGTTTTCCTGGGACTATTGATTGGTTGTCTGTCGTGTCATGGCTAAATGCATAACAACGTTGCCGTGAACCCATAGAGGTACAGCAGTAGTCTGATCCGCACAGCTAGTTTGAGACTAAATTAAAGTAATTTAATAGCCTGCTGCAGTGAAATAGCTCATGTTTGTTCTCAAGTAAAAGCCTGGACAGGAAGCCTGATTGAGGTCTACTGATATAATTTGTTTGTATGCCTGACCCTTTAATATTCATGTGCAACTCCATAGCTACTTTATTAACATTGCTGAAAAACATGAAGGTACAGACTGTGAAAAAGACTGAGAAAGTACAGACTGAACTCTGATTTTGAAACCAGAGTATTATTTTTTCTTAGTTTCACTAAGGGAATTCTTCACTAAAAAATCAAATGTGAAAAAGCATGTCGGGCTTTATGGTATTAGTGTTTCTGCTCTCAGCAGGGTGACAAGCAATTCAAAGTACTGGTGCTAAACTTCTGAAGTTCCTTCTTTATCAATCTTTTTTTTTTTTTTTTTCCCTTTCTGGAGGACCAGCTTTGAGAGGAAAGCTGGACAAGGTGACTCTAGAGGTTCCTTCTGGCTAACGTTTTTATGATTCTGTCTGAATTTAGTCTCACTGAAATAAAAAGTATTTTTATAAAAAATGAAAGGTATGGGACAAGGAGACGTAATTTCATTTTCTGATAACTGACATTGTAACAAACTGAGCACAACTGCATATGCACTTCCGGTATACCCTTAATTTAATTACAGTGGGAAATGGGCTCTTGATCTTATTTGAGATCTCATCACGATTATTATTCTTTGTTGATATTATCTGACATCCTATTGACATATTCAACTTTCCTTTTCTATATGTTCCAGATACCTGCTCCCAGATGACAGCAAAGCTACAAAACACAAAACTCCCATAATAAAAAAGAATGTGAACCCCCAGTGGAATCATACATTTGCTTTCAGTGGCTTGAATTCCCGGGATATACATAATGTCTGCCTAGAGTTAACTGTGTGGGACAAGGAGTCACTCTCCAGTAATATTTTTCTGGGAGGTGTCCGTTTGAGCACTGGAAGTGGTAAGGTCCCATCTAACTGGTGATTGCTTTGCTTATTTTGCTCTTATCCTGCTCTTCTCACCCCAAGTGATTCATGTACATGAGGGATAGAAACATTATTGAATGTGTGGATAGTATATGCCAATTTGGAGAAACTGGAAAGGGAGAGAAGGCAACATGTCATCTGTATAGAAGATTTAGTTCTTTCCTTCATTGAGTGAGACACAAAAATGTGGTGCCCAATTGCACTTCTGAGCAGCCTAGAAGAACCAGGAATAGCTTGGAAGCATTTCTCGGAATCCTGATGAGGAGGAAGAAACTACTTTTAACCAGCAGCAGCCTTTCTGCTGACAGTGGGATGATCTGGAAGAGATGTGAATCCTCAGTTAGGAGAAGGTTGCTTGTGGTGCAGAGTGGGGGGGTTTATGTGCATCTATCCATGTACCACAAAGGAGTTGAATAACTGGTACTCAGTGGGAGCAAATCTGTATATAGGCAGTCATGTAATGTGCTTGCCATCTTTCTATAGACTGTTGGAGTGAATGAGCAATATTAAGTAACTGCTTGCTAATATGCCGAAACGGTTTGTGTTTTGCAATTGCCAGGTGTAAGTAATGGCAAGGAGGTTGACTGGATGGACTCTCAAGGAGAAGAGCAGCACCTCTGGCAAAAGATGATTGACAGTCCTGGAGCATCTGTGGAGGGGATATTAATGTTGAGATCCAGCATGGGAAAACGTAGACTCTGAAAGACTCTCAACTACTGAGGGGTACCACAGGTACTCCTGATTTCAGTGGTGTTCAGCTCCTCACACTTTGCCTATTGGAAAGTGGTGAAGGGTTGTACTCTTTGCCTTGGATATTAAGGCTCCAAGTGAAATTTTAATGCATTCTGCACTTTCATGCACATGTTTTTAACCCTGGCTTCTTGGACAGATTATGTTTCTCCTGAAGCTCGTGAGTATTTGACCTTGTACAGAGATCAGGCTGGCTTTTTCTGTCTCTTCTGGTTACTGGTGTACAGATGATGAACACCTCTGCTGGTGGGGGACATAGAGCTAGCAACTGTCTACGTAGTCATTTAGTAAGTAAAGTTTGCTTTACATATTTCCTCCTGGGTCAAAGATGGCCTAGAAGACAGTAGTGATACAGTACAAGCAGATTCAGAATGAGTCTGTGCTTTGTTATTTGCAAAATGAGAAGCCATAATGTTCTGAAGGATAACAAACAACATTTTTTTTTCATGTTTGCTTTTTGGGCTATGCAGTGTGCAGGAAGGCAGGCTTGGAACCAAGCAGCCCTCTAAGGAAAGCCAATGCACTCATCATTGCACACTAGAAATAGTCAGCAGATGAAGGGGTATAAAGTGCCAATGTTGCAGCATTCTCTGGGTTATTTCAGTGCACTGTATATAAGGCAGGTTTGGTTCAATGTGATTAAAGAGCCTCTAATGAAAATAAATGATAACAAATCCCTATAAAATTTCTACAACTATGTGGTATTACCATGTTTTTCATTCAGTTGACAACTCTAGCCACGATCTTCCAATGTCATTGAACAGAGGGAGTATGTTCACATGCCTGTCGCACCTGAAGAGTTGCTGAGATGAGACACATACTGGTTTGGGGCATAAAAAAATAAAAAGTGGAGTTTTCTCTGAAGGGACTGGGATCCTGTAGGTTTGGGCCAATTCAGACATTAACCTTATTAACCACAACAAGTGTTCAAGGGTAATTTTGCTCTTTGGTTTCGTAAAGTGATCTTTGTATCTGCTTAGATCTGTCATCCTCTGCAGACTTAGTCAGGTCACTTGTGAAGAACATGCCGTTTTGTATAGTCATGGGCTACTGCAGCATTTAAACAGCAGTAGTACCGTAATAAGAGAGGATTATAATCTCTTTCAAGGACAGCACAAGTCTGGATAAAAATATAACTGCATCACACATAATTGCTCAGGGTATGAAACAAAGGAAGACTGGTAAACTGAATGAAAAGTCCCCTGAATCTTTCAGAATTGGAACATAGCTTCCTATTTGAATGGGTAAATTAATCTATAACTACACTTATCCCTTATTTTTCTACAAATGTTTCTCTTTTGGAAGTAATATCTTATTAGTAACACTGAAACAAATTTGAATATTTGTAAACATAATCCTTACATAAAATACTGATGAGAAAAAAAAAAACAAGCTTTCAGAGGATGTTTCATTCCCTGTACATCAAAACACCAGGGTTTTAAAGATTTCTGTGAAGAATCAAGGCCATAAAATCTTACTTGTTTGAGAGATAGAAATGCTGTTCTTCACAATGTAGAAATCACAGAAATTCTAGATGGAACAACATATGGAGAAATGATAACTAAGTGTAGGTTAAGATTTTGTCATCCATTGCTGTTCTAGTGTATAGTCAGTAAATGTGCCTAGAGCTGAATCCAAAATGTTAACATTTAATATCCATTCCTTCCCACTGCTCCCCTCTTTCCCTCCTCTCCCCAAAATATACTATTTTTGGTTTGAGTGGCTTGAAACTGTGGGGAAGTTTGCAAGCAGTCTTTAAAAATCCCGTTATTATTAGATACATTTGGTTTATTTATTTTTGTTAAAAATAGAATCTTAGCTTTAATAAAAACAGATTGATTTAAAATATTTTTTTGGTTAAAATTATGATATGCCATTGGAGGTAATGCTTTTGCCCAGTTTGATACCCCCAGTTTTTAGAAACTGCCAAGTCATCTTTGGAGTTTCCATAAAGAAACTCAAGTAGGGAATCAAATGTCAAGAGTTGTTCCAGTTGATTTCATGTTCCTTCTTCATCTGTTCTTCATTTTCATCTGAAATCCTGGTCAAATTGGGCAACGAAGCAAGCTTACTTTAGTTTTAGCCTACTTTTCATCCTATGCCACAGATGCTGTGAGCTGATGAAGTAGAGCACAAATATCAATCACATTTTATGACCTTTACTATGGTAAAATAAAGTTTCTTTAAATAGACTTTTTCTATCAGCATCCACAAAGTGAAACCAAACCTAACTTCTGGCACCTAAACTCTGTCTCTGTTTACAGAGTCAGAGCCTGAGTTGTCTTGCTTGTTTGCACTACAAACCAGAATTTATTTGGGGAGTAATAATATGTTGATGTGGAGCCACATGCTTGATTTTTCACTTGCCGTAAGTTGGTTGAAAAAGATAAAGCTTGTTAAATCTAAAGGAAATGATTCTTCAGGGTAAAATTCCAGCTAGGCTTATAGAGGAACAGCAGGGAATCTGATGAGTTGTTTTTGTTTCATTTTGATGTTGAAACTGGGAACGTGGTAACATAAAAAATCTTCTGTGTTGGACCCCACAGTGAAAACCATTCTTCCACCAGATTGAAAACCTTAAAATAGTTTGGAACTGAACTAAACCTCTTACTTAAAATGGTGCATAAGCATTTATCTAATTTTTGATGGGCATTTTCTAAACTTCTAAGCATTAGTGTTGTAGTTACTTCTAGTCTTGCTTCAAAAGGAAGTAGTCCATGCTTTACCTTTAGCTTCTGCCCAATTTACTCCCATTTTTAGGTCCTGTGTTAGAGTTTATAATGAATGTACTCACCTGGAAGGCATCACATGGCTCATTCATGGGCTTTTGGAAGAGCCAAAATTTCTATTTTGGCCTGCATCTCAAAGCATAGACCAGGCTATGAATGGTTTCTAGGCATCACCTGCAGTTCAGCATATGAGGGGAACAATTTCAAGTGGGTATTTATTTCAGCCAAGGCAGTGCTGTTTGCGTTGATAGGATTTGGAGTATGTACAGTGAAATTACCTCTTAGGTTGGCAGTGACAATTCTACATTATGTTAACATGCAATGCATATCATGCTCTGCCTCAAATGAGCCTCAGAGAGATGACGATCATTGGTGTAAACACCAGAGCAGTTTGGAAGGTTTTGCTATTCTGTGATGTTATCGACAGGAAGCATTTGATTTGTGGAAAATGTCACATTTAATTATCTCTCTTATATCCTTGTTCTCATCCTTTGCAAAAATGATTTATGGTTTGGAAAAAGCATGAGATGATTAACTGCAGATGTGATTTCTTGTTTCCCAGATATTTGAACAAATTGCCTGTAATTGTGTGTCATCGTGTACCATGTATTACTAGGCTGCACAAAAAGATGGAAAGCCAGGAGTCAGACTAAAACCTTCCTTATGTATGTATGTTTGTGATATTGAGGATGCATGGCTGGTTTAAGGCCAACTTTTAGGAGAAAATAGCCACAATTCTAACACTGATTCATAAACTCCTGTCCTAAGTAATTAGACACAGAAGAGCTGATGCTTCGAAAATATTTCTCCACGCAGACTTGAATAACTTAAGATGCTTCAATGGAGAAGAAATTTTCTCTACACTGTTTTTAAAAATGTGACACATGATGCATGTTACTAGCAATGGAACTACAGGGCTTTCATTGCTGTCTTCTCCCTCCTTGTGATTAGATTCTGAGGGTTTGACCCATTAAAGAAAAACAAAAGTACAACTTTGGCTGTAAAGTGTTAAGTAAATCTCTTGACAGTGTAGTTGTTGCCAGTATCCATCAGGAAGAGCCAATGCTGAGGGTTGTCCAAGCCCTGTTATCTAACTTGAGTATCTCGACCTGTTTTCTGGAAGTTTCCCAATTCAGCTTATCAGTTATACAGGGTCTTTAGGCTTCTAAATGTTCTTGCTTACATTTTAGATGCTACAATAGGTTAAAATGGCCTCCTTGTCTCCTCCACCTCCGTCGTATTACATTTGAATGAGGGTGGGAGGAAAGACAGTGAGGCTATTGCCATCTTCTTGTGCTGATCAAAGTGCCATTGCCTTCTTTAAATGCCTTTTAGACACCGCATTTTGATTTTTCTTTCCCAGCTGGATGCTTAGCAGATGGTTTATGAGAAAAGGCAGTGGGATGGTGAGTATGTTTTGACCATGATGATAGAATCATTAGGGTTGGAAAAGCCCTCCAAGGTCATCTGGTCCAACCATCCCCCTACCACCAATGTCACCCACTAAATCATGTCCCTAAGCACCATGTCCAGCCTTTCCTTGAACACCCCCAGGAACGGTGATGCCACCACCTCCCTGGGCAACCCATCCCAATGCCTGACTGCTCTTTTTGAGAAGAAATGTCTCCTCGTTTCCAACCTAAACCTTGTGTGGTACAACTTGAGGCCCTTCCCTCTAGTCTTATCACTAGTTACCTGTGAGAAGAGGCTCCCCCCAGCTCCCCACACCTTCCCTTCAGGTATCTGTAGAGAGCAATAAGGTCTCCCTGAGCCTCCTCTTCTCCAGACTAAACAACCCCAGTGCCCTCAGCTGCTCCTCACAGGACTCAGGTTCCAAGCCCTTCACCAGCTTTGTAGCCCTGCTCTGGGCATTTTTAAGTATTGGGTTTTTTATTATTTATTTATTTATTTTCCTTGTTAAGCCCTGTCACGTGCAAGTGTCCAAGGCTGTATTCTGCAAATATGAACTAAACTACAACAGCAGAGCAGCCATTGAGCATCCACTGGTTCCAATTGATAAGGTGAGGTAACAGGAGGGTTGCATAAAGACTGGCATTATTTTGACTTCACAAGAGGTATGCACATTGGCCAACTTCAGACATGTAAAGCCTGTGGTTTGCTTGAGTCGATGAAGGCTCCTTGGATCTCTTACACCTTAAAAAAAGCGCTGAGTCCTGTCTCCACAGTTGCCAGTCTGCGGGTTCACATGAGACATTAAGGGTTGTACCTTAATCCTTGCAGGACCTTTTCCTTCCATCCCTCTCTTCAGTTCAGCAACCCTCAACAAGAAATTCTCCACAGATTCTGTCAGTATGTCAAACTAGGACTCCATGTCCCACCCAAACATGGATCTCCAGTACCCAGTAGTTAAGCGATAGCTCCGCTTACTTTCACCTGTATGAGGTAAAAACTGGTATTATCCTTCCCTAACACATGATGTTGATTTTTGATGGACAGAAACAGCCACCTCCATGTGTACTTTATAAACACTTTTGGATACATTTTTTAAAGATGATTTTAATTTATTTATTTTTACACGTGGAAATGTGACCGCTTGAGAATCCTAGAGAACTTGCAATTAATTGTACGAACATACATGCAATTAATTCCAAAATAAGATGCAGCCTTTTATTTGCAGAGATGTCTTTTACCTTAACTCAGCCTGAGATACTGAGAAGCCTGCTAGCAGAACCTTACCACTGTGTCCCCTGAATTTCCTGCCAAGTGATTTCATGTTTGCAAATGCCATTTGGTAAGTGGTAATAATTCAGTGTTAATTATACTGTGTATATTGACACTGGAAAGTGAATCTCAACTTGCTTTTCAGTGTTCTTTAGGTTGCTTTTGAAACTCACCCCTGCTATATATGGGCCCTTTTTTAGATTACCTATTTTGACAGCTCTGCTTTGTGGCAATAACACGCCTATGTCTGTGTACTACTGCTCCTGAGAGTTGGGTGTGTATTTTTGAGGGTAGCTCTAATTGTCAGGGTTTGCTTAAAGCCAACTGTAGTCATTTGTTGCAGCAAATAGAGAATATCATGCATCCCTCGTGCAGCCTTTGTTCTGCTTAAAATCTGTTGCTAGCTATTTGTTTAGTTATTCTGCTGGACTTGAACAGAAGTAGCAGTAAATGGCATCGCAGTATGTTAAGTTCTGCCCAAATCTAGACAAAACAGAATGTTTCCTGCCCAGAACATTTTTGTACTGTGCACTGTATGTTCAGTTTTGTGGACAAAGATGGCTGGTAATACATTTGCAGCTGTTGTCAAGATTATTGTTCTATCTTTTAAAATTAAAATAATGAAACATTGCAGTGTCACGTCTCTTCTAAAATTCATTGCAGTCAACTATAAGCATGTCTTTCAGGAATATCCCATATTATCTAAATAAGGTAAGCACATTGCTCCATTTATATTATAATAACAGCAGAGGCCTGGCATGTCTGCAGAGATGGGACTCCATTGATAGTCTTTCCCTCTGCTGTTTTTGTCTTCACTTCTCCAGCTTACATCATTTTTATGTTTATTTTTATTTTTGTTTCATAAGCTTTAAATTTATTTTCTAGCTAAGAATATTGGAAACACACTCTTTTCCACCTTGCTAGAGAATTATTTTACCTGTGCCTTAACCCTGTGCTTTCAGTTCCTTTCCTCCATCTCCAGACCTCCTCCCCAGTGTCTATCTAGTTCAAGCTCCTGCCCACCTGGAAAATCCAAGCACCGTCCTTGCTGTGGACGTGCAGCCCCAGCAGCCACTGCCAGGGGAGGCTGGGAACGAGGTGAGTGGCTGGAAGTGCTTGAGCACCAATATTGCATAACCCGAGCTCCATTATTTCACTGCCTTAATTTAAAAAGCGGATTGTGATTGTAAGAGTATTTAAATGCACTTCAGGTTACTTTTTAGCCCCTGTGTTTTCATTAATTATGCTATGCCGTCTGACTCATGCTTTTATGTAAGTACTGAGCTGTAACGAAACGACACACTGCAGTCATTTAGCACAGAGCTGCACTGCGGGGCTGCAGGGGTCGTCGGTGCTTTCATTACAATGTGAGACTTTCTGTCCCGGAGGGGAAGGGTTGAGCTTCAAGAATCAGGCACATGCAACTTTGACGTTAGTCCCTGCCTCTGTAGATGTGGAGTGGTTGTGTGGTGTGCGATGGCAGGGATTGTTCTCATCAAGTAGGTGGATCCTTGGGTAGGACTGGGGGAAAATCAGGCCGTTGGAGAACTGTTTGGGGTCATGAGAAATTGCTGCCTCCTACAATGTATCACAGTGGGTTTGTTGCAAAAGATGTTACGTGACAGAAACTACTTCTGCTCAGTTCTAAAATGATCCAGCTCCTTTGGTTGTTGAGAACATGTTCACAACCAAAACGTTATCTCCAGATTGATGCAAAAACCTCGAGCCCGTGGTGCTATCTGCACGCTACGATCTGTCACTTGTGCAGTGAATAGCCTGGAGTGGGAGAGGAAAGGACAAGAATCGCTGCAGGTCTGGCTTCTTGGAAACAGCCTTTAATCCTCCCAACCCAATTTGTGCTTTAAACAGGATTTGTGTTTTGTCAGCAGTGGTAGGATTAACAGCTGTGGCAAGAAGAGCCATGTTGGAAGTACAACAAAGACTCAAGGCCTGTGTGATTTTGAGGGAGATAAATTTTCTGTTAAACATTTAATAAAATAAAATAAAAGGCACTAGTGTAGGTACTGCACCTTGTTTACACAACATTATTTTTTTGGGACCAGAAGTCTACAGGATGAACTACTTGAATATATTTGAATATTTGGAATTTATTTAGATACACAAAAGCTGGGCTAATGCCAATAATACCAAGTCTCTTGTTCAAACAGTCCTTTCCTGAAAGGCAAATCTGCCACGTTCCTGCATACCGTACTTGCAGGATGATTTGACTCCAAAACAGAGATGGCACATGATGTTTTTCACTGTTCCATTCCTCCCCACAAAAACGTACAACAGAAAATGCCAAAAAGCTTATATTTGCAATCAAGAACAGCTTTTGTTAATCACAAGATTTCAAGAGATGTTCTGTGTAGAACTATAAGCAGTAAGCCGATCATTATGCACTTCCATCCACTTAATTCAATTTGCTCAAACAGCCTAGTGATTGCAATCACTTTCCTGGTTGTAGCGATTGTAAAGCCCCACTCCTGTTCAGCCAGTCATTAAAGATGATGGGATGCATTGATTCTGCACCCAAATCGAAACGGAGCAGCAGCGGATTGGAACTGCAGGAATACAACAGAAAAATCAGACCCATCAGACCTCCAGACTTACGTATTTATTCGTCAAATCATCGGGGATCAGCTGATGTGCTTTTTGACTGAGGAGAGCTGGGGGAAACCACCTGCCCACTCTCGTTATGAGTGCATGCCTGCCAAAGCTGTCCTTGTGTCTTGGAAATGCCGGGAAAGTTCATTCAAAGGAAGTTCAGTCCTTGTCCTCCAGTCGGTCATGCTCACAGACCTGGCAGCACCACCTGCAGAGGCCAGGGTGTATCTGGATTTTCTTTGCCTTTGGCATCAGCTCTGCAGGGGGTCACTGCCTTGGGTGCATCATGCTTTCATGACTACTCTCGGGTGCTCAGTAAGTCTCCTAACGATCTTGCAGGCAGACCATTCTGCTCGGAAGATCCCTCTGCCTCGATGCCCTTGCACTTCAGTCTGCAAATTAGCTTTTCTTAGCTAGTATCAGGACTGAATTCCCTATCTACACATTCACTTCCTCGTTAATTCATTTGCAAGAGCAACATTTTTTAAAAAATATCGTAATTTCAGAGTGTGTGAAAGGTTGTATCCTTTGGTAAGGATTGCTTTAAGGATGCTGATAAACTGTTCCCCTGCTGACACAGGAGCATAAAATCGAGCAGAAAAAAAAAAAAAAAGGCTTTGCTCTGACCAGTATGAACAGCACAGCCACTGAAGTGCTGTTCAGTGATGGGAAATTACGCACCTGATCCTGTAAGCAAGTGTCCAAAGCTTTAACTCACAATTTTAATTCCTTTTGGGTTTGTATTCTTCATGCATGATGTATATTCTTTGCAATGGATTGTCAAGATTGTGGGTTATAATAAAACACTAGAGAACTATTTCCTTTTTTGATTGCCTCTTAACACTTCTTGCCAAGCAGTGAACTTTTTTTGTTGTTGTTAGACTGTAAATGATGCGTTGCAAAAAACTGTTTTCACAGATCTGGAAATGACAAATCCTTGATAAAGCTTCCCTGGAGGGGGTATTCCCCTGCCATCAAATCAAGAGCCTGATCTGTCTCCAAGATGAAAAGGGAAATAAATCTGTTACTACCAGTCACTGGACACGTAATGCCAGAAGCAGACACACACCAGGTAGGAGCAGATCTTTTATCGAGTATTGCAGTACACAGCCTCTAGTAACTTACCACCCATTTTTTGTGTTGCTCACCCTTCTGTTACTGAATTCCTTCTGGAAATATTTCCATACTCCTGCCACCACCTATTTTCTTCGCCTCTGCTCAGAATAAGTACTCATGTTGCCTTTGGCTTATGCTTGGTGTCTGTGATTGACTGTATTATAATGGGTCTGAAAGACACCTCTGGGTCACTGTACACTACAGACATTAGCCTTTGATTTAAATGGTTTACAGAGGGGTGGTAGCTTGATTCAGCTTTTGAGTAAATCAGTCAACTTTATCTCCGAGGGTTAGACAGCTATTTCTTTGCAAAACAATATTTTATTAATAAAAAGACTTATAAACAGTAAGAAAGAAACCCCAATTTCACACTGAATGAAAAATCCAAAATAAACTCCTAGAGACGTGCCTCAGGTCTTTGCTGTCTGTACAAGAAACTCCACTGGGTAGTAATCCTACGTACACGTTTCTCTACAGATGGCTGAAAGTACAAAAAAGCATCATGCATATGTCTATGCAGAGTAGCTACACAGCTGGACAGACCTAACAATACACACAAAAAATCTGTACATCAGTGATTACAAAAGCCATGCTTTGTGTAGCACCAAGGGGAGAATTACGTGGATAAAAAAAAAAAAAATCACTGGCAAATACAAGCCCTGCAATTCTCAATTAGGGGCACGACTGGCCAATTTCTGCTTGCAGTTTCATCTCTTCTTTTCTCAAGGGAAAATTGTCAATAAGTGCAAAGAGCTCGGCTGGCGTTGCTGGGAAAGGATAGCGTTCCTTGTCCATGCCGTGCTTGTCCATCACCACGATGTTGAAATTATAATGGGGGATCCTCAGCAACAGCCTGCAAAATAAGGAAGTCATTTTGTAAAAGCCCATCATGTGCCCAGGCACTTCAGACAGCAATAAATGGCAAAGCCAGGCTGCTGGCTCCAGGCAGAGGACTCTGGGGATGGTCAGAGGGGGCTACACAGGGTCTGCTTTGTCTCAGCTGTAAGAAGGGAGTCAGCAGTGAGCAGGTGTCTGCCCGTGCTGCAAGGCTGTACCTCTGCAGGAGGGAAGGGTCAGGGTAACTGCACTCAGCGCTGTTTTCTTCTCAGACGTCTGATTTGGCAGTATGGCACATGCCCTACCTATTGCTCTCATAACAGAAAAAAAAGACAAAGAAAGTACAGGACTATATGCACTGCCTAAAGAAAAAACAGTGTGATGGAGCTCAAGAGTTACAGGTAGGCTATTCTCTTTTTTTGCTGCCAGGCAGTATAAAACAAACAAAGAAAAAACAATGAGAAAGAGCAGAACAAAATTACTTGAGTCAGTTCTCCTTGCTTCCTAATAGTAACTACCTACCTGGTGGCAACTCCAATTTAGCAGAAAAAAAAAAAAAAGCCACCACTAATCAGGGCAGAGTCCTTCCTTTGGAGTGGTGAAATGGGTCATTCAAGCTCCTCTGGAGGTGCAACAGTAAGAAAAGTATGTCCTTGATGCTCATTTAACTCATCCTTGGAGGAGTTATAATTTATAAGATCCTCAGACATGCATGCAGTCAACATCACTGGTGTAGGGTAAAATAAATTCAGGCATCTGTGATGGAATGGGGTCAGGACAGGAAAGCTGCCATGAAGAGGAGGGTCTCTTGGGAGCTGAATTTCAGAAAGGTTTGAAGCATAAAAATTGACCTTCCTCTGCCTTCCATTGGGTTCGAGTTCTCTAGTTGTTGTTTTGTTATGGTGAGAGAGCTCAGCCATTGATTTCAAACTGAAACAATGTTGGAGCTAATTTATGGTGATAGGTGGTGAGATAAGGCAGAGGAGGAATGTGGTTTCTTAATGAAAATGTTTACCCTCTACAAATCCAAATACGAACCCTTTCGAGGTTGCTGAAGTTTTAACTAGGGTACCTGTGACTGGTTTAGTTTACAGAGTACTAATTCTGGGCAGCATCTCTATTCAAGATGTTTCAGGGAGTGTTTCATTTTGATTCAAGTGCCTTCCAGAACCAGAATACTACCTCATACCATGGTAGCAACAGAGTCTAGGTAAAAAAAATAAAATAAAATCTAAAGGAAAGCTAACTTCCACTGAGTGCAGGGCAGGTTTTAGAGCATCCTAATTTCTGAAATTGAAGGCTGGGGGTGGGGAGTGGGGTTGCAGGCAGCAGGAGGGGTCAGGGAGCAGGGTTATTACCAGAGGTTATTTTCTACAAAGCCACAAGAAAACCACTTCAACTTAAAAAAAAAAAAAAAAAAAAAAAAACAAAAAGAAAAAAACAAAAGTACTTTTAGTAAAGTAAAAAGGAGCTCTTTGTGTTCCCTCTTTCATTTTATAGGGAACAAATGCTTTTATCTCTTTTTTCAATCCAAAAAACTCTCAGACTTGTCAGCAGCCTGAGAGAAGAGCACTTTTTTATTGTTCCAAATTAAAATTTACACCATTTTCTTAGGCATATCACAGAAGATGCTGCCTAAAATGCTCCTGGACTTCTTTCCTAAATAACAACTTCTTTCCCTGCCAAACAGGCCTTCACTTTTGGCTCTGGTAGTCCTAACCCTAGGCAGTGCTGGCACTTGAAGTCTTCCTTTCAAGTGAAAACCAACCCCCTGCTTGTCCAAAACTAAGTCAAAACAGTTTAGATTTCAGTAAAACCGTTGAATGTCAGTCAGGCTGGGGAGGCTGAGATCATCTGCCCTTTGAAATGCTGCCTGTATCATATCTTCATGTGGGACTTCAAAGAGCAACCACTGCTTCTCCTCTGGCCTGGCCGCAGCCACAATGAGGCGGTGGGGCTGTGTGGGGCTGCGCTGGCAGCTGCTCCAAGGCTGTTCTTGCAAAGTGATTGCAGGCCAGCAGGACTGCAGCTGCCCAGCTCCAGCACACATACAAACACAAGGTGTTTTCAGTGACTTGAACCTATAAAGATATAAGGGGCTGCACAGAGAGCTCACCTGAATTCAATGTCATTGGGTTTGAGCAAAGAAGGCACAGCACTTGACAGAGTCAGCCCCTTTAAATACGAAACAGACTGAAGCCTATACTCTTAATTTCATAAATCCCAAATGCCTATGAATTTTCAGCAGCTATTGCACAGTTAATAGAGAGGAAACTAAAGCTGAACCTTACTCATGAACACCTACCTACCTTCCATTGTTGAGCTAAGTACACTACAATATAATATCCCTATTTAGATAATAAGATGCAGGAAAGCAAAAGCAATACATTACAGATGCTACGGTGCGCACACAACAGTAGTCAAACCTTACTTTACCTGAGTTGCAGTGCAAGTGATGGGGGCAGCAGCTTTACCCCTATTCTTCCTATCTGTGCGGGGAAGACGCCAACCAATTCAACAACGGTAACATGCCGGAGGTCTAGACCACACTGTGCTGGCTGCAAGGGTTAAGAGAAGAGAGATGTTAGAGAGAACATTGGGTTGTTGCTCATAAATGGTCTAATCTCGTGTTAGTGAAATGGTTTAAATTGAAATGAGTGTACTTTGAAGGGTCTCTCTCATTCTCTCTGCAAACAACTACAGCCTCAGGGCTCCAGGGGCTGTTAAATGATGGATTCTGAGCTACCCTGAGAACACCGCCACGCAGGGACCACCTTGGAGAAATGCATACTTGTGTTGTAATGACATGAAAAGATGCCAGCGTATCAGTGCGTTGAGCTTTGTGCCAGTAATCTCGTTTGGTAATCAAAGCAAGCATGTGAAACGGAAGGCAACTGCAAAAAGTTGTTTTTTTCATGCCAACTTGTTTGACCAAGCAGTGGGAAAAGTAATACAGCCATTAAAATAGTATTTTAAACTACCTCATTTCAATCAATATATTGAATTTTCTTGCCCGAGTAATCTACTGTGGGAAAAGAAAAGCTTTTCATTTTGTTTCTAACACACCTGTGACCGAAGCCAGCAGTTAAAAATGTTATCACATTCATATCACAATGACTATTCTTTCTGGACGTTGTTCCACTTGTGGGAAAAGAAACAACGTGCAAGCACTTGTCACTATGAAAGAATACAGGACCGGCTGCTTCCCCAGGACACAGATACATTTCTGAGGTACACCCCTTAGTCTAGCAAGAACCCAACACAAAAAAAAAAAAAAAAAACAAAACATAAGGACCATTATCTGAAGGTTTTTTTTTTAATTTTTTGGAACAAAATACAACAGTAGTATCACCCAGAGTGTTTCACTCTGGGTGATTTCTGTGCTGAGCCTGCTGGTACACAAGTTATTTCTATTCTGTTTCTATCTATTTCTTCATATTTTCATATTGTAGTTACAAGCGCCTGTAAGCCTGGTTTGCATGAAGTGTAGCCACTGAAGTGCTGAGTGTTTTTTTTTCCTAACTCCCCTAGGAACTGACTTAGGGAATGCTTATTAGAGCACAAGTTAATATTAAATTAATCTTAGGAGGTTGGAAGAGGGCCAGAACCGCCTGGGATTGAGTAACTGGTCAGTCAGAGGCAGTACAATCCAGAATAGAGCCGAATTAGAAACTGGGGAGATGTTTAAAATAAAACAAACATTAAAAGGATTAATCCAGAACCACCACCACTTCAGTTAGATCCTCTTCTGGCTGCAGTGCAGCATCTGAAGTTTACAGATTTATACCAGCAGTGGAGCTTGTTCTCCTGCGTCTTTAAAGGGAAAAATTGGTTGCTACAACCCCTGCAACCCACCCTGAATTGTGCTTTACCTGCAGCATCCCCAACTGCATCCTGTAGAAGAAGTTGGCTGCAGTAGGAGTTGAAATAATTAGCAGCCTCCGCTTCTCATAAAACTGATCCAGAAGTGCAGCTGCAGTCCTCACATTCACATTAATATTCATGGCTAGAATTAAATTTAAAACAAGAGTTATAGAGCAGAACTGAAAAGAGATCTAGTTTTAATAGGACAAACAACTGTTAGATACCAGAAGCACGGGAACAAGAGAATAATAAAGAGGATACAGGTGAAAGACTGGCCTCATAGAAGCCAACAATTTTATCTTAAGCTGTACTCTGTCTTAGAAGATGGATTAACTCCAGTATGTAAAGTTTTGTACAAAGGTCTGGGCTGAAACACACTGCCAGTTTTAAGGCACCATCGTTATCTCCTAGGACAGAACAGCCAGAGGTAGCAGATGTTTCAGGTGTAAATGCGAACTGGCAGGAAGACAAAGATGCTGAGTTTCTTATCTCTAGGGCATTAGAGTTTGTAACTGTTCCTCCCCAGGCTCCCTTCCCAAATTCTCTCTTCCGTGAGAACCATTGCTCTGGTAGCCCTTCCAGTGAAGTGGTGAAATACTCACTTACGTGCACAGGTTGGCTCCACTCCCGACCAGCCCAGGTTGTACTGGCACACTCTAGCTGGGCTTCCTTGCAGCTCGTAGCCACCAATGCAGGAGAACTCGCACGTAGCACCGTAGTTATTTCCATCACCCGAACACTTGATGTAGCCATTATCTGGGGCGTTTAATTTCACACAGCGCCTGACTTTAGGCATCAAAGAGGTGAAAAAAAAAATGAAAAACAAGGCATGAATCACCTTGCTACCAGGGTAGCACGGCCAGTGGAATACCAGGATGGAAGATGTTTTTCTTTTGCTACCTCTATTGTTAAAGGATGTAAAAACTAAACAAAAACTAAACAAAAACAAAACAAAACAAACAAAAAAGCCCTCATATGTAAATTAAAATGATGCAGATACATCTGTGTGTACATGTGATTGTGGTTTAGGGTGACAAAAGGTCGTGGTGCAAAAAGAGATCTCTTCTCCATGGATTTGACTCCAGATTGCAACACCTTGTGAAAGAGCAACCCTTCTTGAGCGATGTGAGGCACAGCTGAAAGAACTCCTTCAGGTATTTGTTTCAGCAGCCCACAGGCTCAACGTTATGCAGCAGGACTGATCAGCAGAGCCCTTCCCCAACTTGCAGAGTGTCTGGTGCCCACTCTGCTACAAGCCTGGGTTCCCAGGGTCCCAGCAGGAGCAGGATGGTGCACTCAGTTACAGAGTCAACATGAACTTTATACACACCTATTTCTGCAGACAAATATAGAGCTGAGGATGTTTCTAAAACTGCCTCCTAAGCCAGATGCAAATCACTGAGTGTAGGTATAGTGTAAAACATCAATCTTACCTCTGACTTTAACGAGAAATTTGCAAGTGCCTTTGTTTTCAGCTCTGTCATACACGGTATATTGGATTTTGTGGTCGCCTTCTGGAAAATGTGACCCTGGGGGCAGGCCTTTCAAAATAACACTAAAACAGGAGATAAAATGGGACAAACATTCATAAATTCACCAGGATTGTCCTACTGCCAAAGCTGTAAAAGCCTAAAAAGAGTGAAGTCTGGGGCATGCTGAGCTTGTCTGGCTGTGCTACATGACTGAAGACTGAGAGCAAGCACAGGAAGAAACTGCAAAGCAGAGACCAGGGCAGTCAAATATTCAGGTCCCGTTCTTAACAACAGGGACCTGTCCTGCTGACAAGAAGGGAGCAGAGCAGTCAAGGACTGCTTGTTTCCTAAGAGACAATTCATAGCATAGCTAAGTATCATGTAATGCCCAAGAAATCAGAGCCATCGGTACCATTGCATATGCACCTTGCTCTTCTGGAAAGTATAACTGCGAAACCATAAAGATGAACAGGATTTTTAAAGAAAGTGTTAAGTTTAAATGAAATATTTATAGCTACCTAAGTTTTAAATGAGAAGCATTGCTTGAAAGGTAACCGAAGAACTCTTTAACAGCAGTTAGAGACTTCTGACAGCCAGCACTGCTTCAGGAAGAAGCTAAAAAATGATCACAAATATTGTGACACTATTTTATTTTATAGGCAGTCAAAATTGTCTCTTTCTCTACCTCCAGTGCAGTATTCTCTTTCCATTGCTTTGTGTGACAGAACTTCTTGACTATGAGAAGAGACCCACGAAGAAGCTCTGGAAAATTTCACAGGTGCAATCAAAATGCTACCATTATTTGTTCCATCAGCTCTGCAATAACCACACCAATCTGCTACTGTTCTACATGCCAGGTCCTGGGGGATTCACCTCCCAGCTGTCAGATTTTTCTCTTTCAGTTAAACAAAGCAATTCTTTACAGGTCATTGATACACGACAGCTAGAAATAAACATCGTTAATGAGCGAAGAGGAAACAGTCCTGGCCACCCTGATGAGCTGAATTACTAACCAAGGATCCTAGGAATAAAAAAAAAAAAGAGAGAAAACACAGGCATTACAGATTTTCACCTACTCTGTCAAAATCCCATCGGCGGTGTCCCTTCCCTCCGGGGTGTCCCAGAAGACTCTGGCCGTCAGCTTGTTGGGCTCTGCGGTTTTCTCCTTCACGCTCGGGCACTGGATTCTTGGTGGCTCTGTATCTGTAGAAATAAACCCCAGAGAAATGAGCACCCGTGCATCTGTTCTGGTCACTCACGTTCTTCACAGCTCCCTGCCGTCGGTATAACTCCTCAGCACCAGAGCTGATCCAGCCAAGGCAGGCAGAGCCAAAGTACCTCTCGTAACTTTTCTTATGTAGTCACCATTTAAAATGTGGTGTCAAAAAATTACGTGCCTCTCGCTTTGAACTCTAAGAAAGGATGCCTGAGATTGTACCCAAGGACCCCGGACCTTCTGTTCATCTGCTCTGCCTGTCATTGTGGATCTCTGCAGGGGATAAAGTCATCATCTTGCTGAGAATTGCTGCTGCATCTGATTTTCTCAAGTAATTCTTGTAATAAGGCCTTACAGGTAATGCAAAGCAAAATGTAGAGCTTGAGGGAAAGTTTGATTAAGTGCTACTAAAACGCTACGACTGTCATTCAGCAGAAAGAGACCAGTGGTGATGATAAGAGAGGCTGATGTGCAGGATAAAGGTGTTGCACAGCAACTGGTCTTTCCTTGTCAATACAGCTAGCAGAGGAGAAATTCATGGGCGAACCAAGCCCAAAAACCACCACAAGCATTAAAACATCTACTTTAAATAACTTAGTCTCAGTTTTTTGACCGTCTCTTGGGTTATACCCAAAATGAAGTCTAAATCCACGGAGCCACACACCAGGCTTTGCAAATCAGCAATGACATAGGATTGCTCTTCACCTACAAATAGAAGAAATCGGAGCTAGCAGTGGGTTCCCACTACACAAAGTACAGCAAGAATAAACAACAGAGTCCTCTGAGCAGCTTTTGAAGTTTCCTGTTCTTCACACTGACACCCTTTACTAAAGATACCTAACGCCCTTATTTTTTCCTCTATTGCTTCTTTTCTCCACCTTTTTCACTCGGTGAGGTCACGCACAGATCCTGCCGTAGGATGAACCAGCAGGATTTCCAAGCTCCCACTCCAGCTGCAGGGAGCCCTTTGTCTCCTTCCCTCGTGTTTTTCACTCCCTAATTTTCAGAATATGGTCCTGCTATGTCTGGAGACCTGCTCACACCGTAGCTGAGGGCTCTGCCCTGCTCTGCAAAACTGCACTGCTCTCAGTAACCCACAGCACAGCTGAATTTGGGTGAAAACCAGCCAGATCTCACCACGTCTGCTTCCTGCCTGGCCAATTTGCTGTGGCTACAGCTCAGCACCCCAGCACTGCCAGGGTGAATTAAATAAATGTAAGGATGGAACAAAAGTCTGAGTGGTATTTAAGGACTCAGCGCTTTAAGCACTTAATTCACTAGAAAGCTCATTGCATTATTTAGCACAGGGAAGACCGGCTGGTACGACCCAGCCTGGACTTCCACACCACCAAGACAAGAAATACAGCTCCTGTGGGAACCACATCACCGAGCAGCCAGGGCCCAGGCAGCCTTGTTAGCCAAATGTAAAAAATCCTGGAAAAGGTATTTTCTTTGGTCATTTCCGATGCCTCTTAGCATTCAACAGGCACTGAACTCTGGCATTGTTACGCCAAGCAGCTCCAGCTCTCAGGTCCTTTTTTGCACGCCCTCCTGCAGCGTGAGCACCTTGGCCACTGCTTGGCAGAGGGAAGACAGGGCAGAAAAAAATCATCATTTAATTGCAGAGGCGGTGACCACACATAGGTCACAAAACCGAAACACAACCCCCCAGATCTTCAATGCAAGTGTGCGACTTGAGCGAGGTGCCACCTGGAGGTTAGGATATTAAGCTGATTCCAAAACAAACCCCAGCGGAGGTGAGATTGCTGACTGCTGGGGAGGTTTTTAGAAGAGGGAAAAAAGATCCTGGAAGCTGTGGCTTGTCGCAGACTGTCACTTAGCACGTAATTCCTGGCCAGAGCTGGAGCCAGGACGCTCTGCAAGGTGCTCCGGCTCCCTGCAGCTCTTCCAATGCTGTTACTGCAGCATCACTGCTGAAAGACCGATGACACATCAGATCCCTTTGTTAAAGCTGTTTGGCAGAGCCGTGTATTCAATGGGTGAATCTTGCCTGCAAAGTTGACATCATAGGCAGGGAAAAGGAGTTTTCTTGTCAGATGTCACTTTTCTTGGCCCCTCAGCAGCAGCGACTGGTACCCTGTCCCATGCTCAACAGCGGGGTTGCAGAAATGGCAGCATTAAAGCAGAGGAATATTCAATTTTAAAGCAGCCCTTTGAACTTTGAGGAGAAAAAATGCTAAGTTTTTAAATAGCTTTTGGATTGATTCATTTTTACATACTTCTGGGAGTCGCTCTTACTGCCTCGCTCACAGCTGCTTGTGAGCTTGGGGTGAGGAGAGAGATGTCTTACCAGGAAAGAAGGAGAGGGGATGGTATTGAATGGCCAATGCTTGCTCAAGAGTCCGTGTGGGGTAGGTAAAGAGCCTGCTGCTCCATAAAAACCCTGTCATTGCTGCTGGCTGATGATGTTAGCGATGGCTGGAAGTTAATTCAAAACATTATTCTGCGTCAAAAGCATAAGGAGATTAAGAGACTCAAAAGCATGAAAGGGTGAATGAAAAACGTTGTTCTGCTCTCCCCACCCCCTCCACAAGGCACTGCTCTGTATCTCAAAACATCCATTATCAGAGCCTGTATAATTAATGACTCAGAGTGCAGAGCGTGTTTCAGGCATCCGAGCTGGAAGCTGTTCGTTTACTACCTATCGATACGATCTTCCGAGGAGGTGACAAAAGGATGACTTAGCACGGTGAGAGACATTTACCACAACCTCTCTTTGACAATCTGCAGGAAAATGAAACCTTCGTGGAAGGAAAAAAGGCGACATTTTCCAATCTTCTGGAGGAAAATACCTGTTTCAATCTATGTTACAGTGCATTATGCATACAATATTCAGTGAGCATTGGCATTTTTAGCTAACTGGTACCCGAATTGGCTATACATTGAGCTTTTTTAGTCAAAGTTATTTCTGTGTCATGAAGGACATCCTTCTCCTCATAGGAGAGACAGGAGACAGGCTGCTTTTTTAGGACAGAATACTGTAGGAATACTATAAGGACTGCCATAAGTGGCTGTTAAAACATACCTAATTTTCTTGGAAAAAATATTATTTCCCATTTTAATGAATACCTGTTTCAGCAATGATACTAGCCTGATCCCTTTCCTACATGGGTCTTCGATATTGCACCGTGACCCCCACGTACTTTTGTGCAAACATGCTAAGCAGTGCAAGTAGAGTATGAAAGGGTAGAGGAGATCCCTATGTTTTCAAGAGGATTATAAATTCAGGTCTGGAGAAATTATCCATACTTGATGGTAATGCCTGTGGTGTCCCCAGGTCTCTTCCCTACCCATTCCCAGTGACATGAACTTTACCAGCCTCTGTCTGTGATCACGTGAAACATCCCAACCGCGCACAGTGCAACTAATTGCTGATATGTTAAAGTAACAAATAAATAAAGAATTAAAACCCCCCCTTTGCATTTCATTGCTCCCTTCACCTTAATTTTAATCCTCAGTTGAAAACAAGGGAGAGCCTTTGCTCAGCCAGTTCTCTTCTGGTCCATGGGAAGCTTTGGCCTGATTCACTGACGGTGTCTTTGTCCTACTGAATTACAGTGAGGGATGTGTGTTGAATCACGAACTGCATTATGCTGTTACGGTCATGTCTGGTGAGAAAAAAGTCCCCCTCCTACCTGTCAACAGGTCAAAAATAACCTTAAACAGTTTGCTAAGTGCTTAACTTGCTATGTGCACACAGGGTTTGAAGGGGTCCTCTCTATACTGTGTGGTATTGTCAGAGCTTAAATAATGGCCTTACTTTTACTGGGTTACTTGGGACTTGCAATCATATCCTGTGTAACAACCAACCTGCATTTCTGGAACAAAAAAGAAGTGTAAGTGCTATCCCTAGCTTCTTTTTTTTTGATCAAGCTGTATTTGCTTACCCCCTGCTCTGCAAGACAGCATCCTCTACAATAATCACCCTGTTGCTGCAAACAGATGAGGTTCTGAAAGTGCCAGGAAATACAGAGAAACAACATTTTATCATTCCCAAACCTAAAAGGGTTTGTTTTCATTCCTCTGCACACACCGCTGAGAAGGATGTGGCTCGTATTTGTAAATAAAAACAAGAGATAGCACAAACAGGTTGGACCTAAGCAGCAGGACCATTTATACATTTGTACAAGAGCAAGTAACAGGAAAACTAAATAAAATTCTATGAATGGAAAGCCACAGTGGAGAGACTCCAAAGCTATCTACTAACCTAGACTGAGCCACAGGCACTCTGAGGAAAACCAAATTATCATACACAAAAAAAAAAAGAGCATAAATATCCTGCCATCCACGAGCTTAGATTACTGGTAGCCAATTCAGATGGCCATAAAGTGCTTTCTTTTGCGGGTAGCTGCTGACCCTTTAATCAGAGACTTCCCAGAGAAAAGAACACCAGCTGGGACCTCGGTATCTGCTGAAATCTCATTAGTAAGAAGAAAAGTTAAATCTCAACATTTGTTTCTCCATTTCGATGTATGGATGTAAAAACAGTTATTCAGCCAGGGTTCCAGGGAGACTGCTGACTACCTAATGCAGATTGCTGGCGTAACTCATGTGAACTTGGCTGAAACTCAGCCTAGCTCACTGCAACCATGCTGGTGACTACAGTCCACCCATATTCACCAGGTATGGCTGGAGACCTTGATAGCAAAACTCGAATGCAACAAGGGAGGTCAGAAAAAGGGTCTAGTTTCCAACTTGTTTTATCATTAAATTGCAGGCAGCGTGACAGACTAGACAGCACGGCAGCACAGAGACCTTGCTAGACAAGCAAAGTAACTACAACCTAGAAAAAGAGTTACCCACTGAGATCAGGGAGGGTTGTTTAAGTGTTGTAAAGCACAGACCACTGATAGCAGCCTCATCTCTGGGGGTTTTTAAGGAAAGGCTGGACGTGGTGCTTAGGGACATGGTTTAGCGGGTGACATTGGTGGTAGGGGGATGGTTGGACCAGATGATCTCGGAGGGCTTTTCCAACCCTAAGGATTCTGTGAGCTTTATTAAAGTGGTAATGCCTGGAGCTGACAGCGCGTGCACTAGACAGGTAAGTGACTTTCAGCCACTTGTGACTGAGTCCTGAGGGGCAGAGTGCATACTGCATCCCTTGGAAAACTGCTCCCTGTTTCCAAAAAGAACAGCTGCTTTTCTTCCCCCGGGAACCGGACAGAAGCACATTTTGGAATTCATTTGCAGGACCCAAGCAGCAGCAGGTCCAGGGAGCCCTCAAGATGCAGAGGGAGCATCAAACTCACCCACGCAGGAAGCTGGCCGGCCGCTCCACACCTTGTTGTCCATGCACGTCACTATGCGGTCGCCTTTCAGCTGGTATCCCGGCGAGCAGTAGTACTCACACCTCGAGCCGAAGTAGGCGCCATCCAGACACTTGAAGCCCCCGTTGGTTGGCATGGAGAGGGTGGGGCAGCGCTTCTCTGCAACGGGAAACACAGATTTAGGGAAATCCCACCTTTTAGAGTAATGTCAGTCAGCTACTGTCTTCTCAGAAAATGATTTACTGCAAGAGCCCACTCAGACACCCGATACGAATAGCAGCTTACAAAACCCATGAGGGATGACATTTTAAAGAGGTTTTATGGCTCTTGTCATAAAACTCTCCCTACAAATCAACATCCCACACTCATAAAATGTTCATTATCTATGTCTTCTCATGATACTTATCATGCCATGTACCCCTGCAACATCCTCAGGTGACAAGCCAGTCTACGTAGCTAAATTGTTGATGTCTATAACACAAATGACCACCAGGAGATGGCTGTTCCCTTTCAACACCTTAGCACTCGCAGGCTGCAGCTACGCCGAGCCCAAAGACAAGCAGAGCCCAGTGGCTGCCCATCCTGAGGATCAGCCCCCACGCATGGAGCTCGGCACTACTTACGTTTGCACAGCACCTTCCCGGACCAGCGTTTGCTTGACTGACAAATGAGCTGCTGAGGGCCGTGCAGTTCGTAGCCTTTCTGACAACGAATGTCGCATCTCGTCCCCAGCACGTTCTTGTAATATTCCCCTTGAGGTGTCCTGCAGTTTGCATAACCATGTTTCACCTTAATGGGAGAGCACCATGGTGTTTCTAGCACAGAGAATTAAAAAAAACAAAACAAAACAAAAAAAAAAAACAACACACACAGGTACTTCACAAAATGTAAAAGGTCAGACACAAATATAAATCCATTTTCTTTATTCAAGGTCACAGAGAAGAAACAGGAAAAAAAAAATCTTATTTAAAAAGCCCCCTATCCTCAATAGTGGAGAAGTAACAGTGCTCACACAGCAGAAGGTCAAGCCTTCAAAGCCTGGCAGCTCTTTTTATTACAAGCATTAAAGACCATAGTCCAATATACTGGGGAGGTGAAAGGGGGAAATCTTGTTGTGTTTTTTTTTGTCCATGGAATAAGTGTGCCACCGTGTGGACAGAGTGATGACAGCTAGAGCTTTTTTTTCCCCTCTGGTGTTTAAATGGATGCATCTAACTTTTCTTTGGTAACACAAGTTTGTATTAGTAACTTACTTGGTCTAGCTTTAGGTGTGATCTTTACATTTAGCTCTCCTGCTGCCCATTAAATAAAATCCTGCATAATAATAATGTGAGTAGTACAGAACATCGCCTTGGATGATCTCTGTCATTTCAAGCTCTCCCCCATTTAGAAAGGATGTCACCTGCACAAATCACATTGCCAGCGTGTCATGTCTGTAGGTACACACACTCCACACATCAGAACAACCACGCAGGGTTTGACTCCAGTTTTTCAAAATTAATTTGCAAGTTAGCACCCAGGCTTAAAGGAACCCAAGCTGCAAAAACCTAAATCGTGCTCTAAATCCAGTTCTCAAAAGTCCGGTCTTCACGTGTTGTACTCCTCACCTCAAAGATGGGCAGAGGGCCACCTTCCCTAATAACATGGACCCACTGGCCTGGAGTAGGAGAACCACTTTCTAGTTGCTCCTGGATGCAGGACAGTGACGTGGATCACAGAGTCACAGAACGGTTTGGGTTGGAAGGGACCTTAAGGATCCACCTGGTTCCACCCCCCTGCCATGGGCAGGGACACCTCCCACCAGCCCAGGCTGCCCAAAGCCCCATCCAGCCTGGCCTTGAGCACCTCCAGGGATGGGGCAGCCACAGCTTCTCTGGGCAGCCTGTGCCAGTGCCTCACCACCCTCCAAGTACAGAATTTCCTCCTTGTACCTAGTCAAAACCTAACCTCTTTCAGTTTAAAGCCATTACCTCTTCTCCTATCGCTCCACTTCCCTGACAAAGGGTCCCTCCCCGGCTTTCCTGTAGGCCCCCTTTAGCTCCTGGAAGGCCGCTGTAAGGTGTCCCCACAGCCTTCTCTTCTCCAGGCTGAACAGCCCCAGCTCCTTCAGCCTGTGGATGCATCTGCCAAGTCAGAGGAAAGCTTGAATTTTGCTGGGACTTCCCGAATAATGCTTCTGCCAAATTTGTGGGAGAAAGGGAAGCCTAAATGCCTGTAAAACTAAATTTTTAATAATTAGTCATCCCTTTAAAGTAGTCACGATGTAGATACTGTCTTCTTGTGAGTACTTAACACCATACCGATGGGTGCAGTATCAGATAGATCTCTGCTTCACGGGAAAAGCTTCAAAATCTGTGTTGAGCCTTGACAACACTGTGCACTAAGAAAGCACTGCCTTTTTCTGCACTGGGCAGCTTTTCAGCTGGAGTTTCCTATACAAGCAGTGACTAAGCCTGCCCCTTCTCAGCTCCAAGACTTGAGAAGGACATGTCTACAGGGATGGAGGGACTGCAAGGCGAAAGAGAGAGACAACAGGGCCGAAGATCCTGTGTGACACTGTGTGACATGTGGGACAGTAGCTAACAAAACTTTCAAGGTACTAGAGAAGTCTGCCAGAGAGATGGGAAAAGAGAAAAGACAAAACAAACAAACAAAGCCCTAGGCAAAGAGTTTTAGCTTTCATCCTTACTAAGTCACAGGAGACATTTAAAAATAACTTCTGGAAAAAAAGCAACGCTTTGGCAGATTTTTACTTCTAACTCTTAATTCTTGTAGTAGTTATGTACATTTTTCTACACGATTGGGATCAGTTTCGCATACAAAAGCAAAAATCAGCACAGGCTGCTACAGTTTACATTCAGTGTAGAATGTCTCCAGGCCATATTTACTCCTTCCTCACAGACACTGGATTTACAGCCCACGTTTTGCTGTGTTGGTCGTGAAGAAGCAGTAAGAGCACCTGGGGACTAAAATGAGAGACTCATTATCAGGGTTTTGACTAGTCCAAGAGCTCTAGGCTATTTGGTTTCTGAAGAAGTCTTACTGCACTGTGTGCTTCCTTTTGAATTTCACCAATACATCTGAAAACTCTTGACAAAGACACATTCGTGGCACTATTTGCATCGTCACCAAATGTGCCATAACTGAGGCAGAGGGAAATTAGCAGAGGAGCCCAACAGCAGGTTAGAGCAGAGTGCAGCTCAGCTTTTTGGCCCAGCCACACAACCATCCCAATCTCTTTTTTTTTCTTCCCCACCTATCCTGTTTCCTGAAAGTACTGAACGCCAAAAACATACTATTTACCTCACAATATTGAAAAATTAGTTTGGTGGAGGGTGGGTTTGTTGGTTTGTTTTAGCACTAATCCCTGCTCTTCACCCTATTCTGTACGCTATAGCTACCAAAACAAATAAATAAGTAAGAGAAAAAATAAGAAAGAAAATTTATCGACTGACTGAGGCCCTGGCACAGGCTGCCCAGAGAAGCTGTGGGTGCCCCATCCCTGGAGGTGCTCAAGGCCAGGCTGGATGGGGCTTTGGGCAGCCTGGGCTGGTGGGAGGTGTCCATGCCCATGGCAGGGGGGTGGAACCAGGTGATCCTTAAGGTCCCTTCCAACCCAAACCGTTCTGTGACTCTGGCTACTCTCTTGGAGGGCTGTATTGCCATGGCTGTCTCACAATGCTTGCTGTGAACCAAATGAGAACTGGAAGAGCCCACAGGGAGCGTGAGTTAGCAGGAATTAACAGTCAATCAGCTACTGCTGAAGTCGTGAGCGATGGCAGTGGGCACAGCCTCAAGCCTCAGCTCAGACCTGAGGGCAGGCCACGCGCATTGGATTCACAGTCAGCCTCTGCCTCCTCCATCTCCTGCAGAAACCTTCCTCCTCCTCCTGAGCTAACAACACCCTTTGTATAATCACCCCTTCAGTGGGCTGACTAACCCTCCCCCCCAAATTTCAGTCCTTTCTGTCCCCCTTACTTTTCTCTTGCCCCAAACGTCAGTAAGAAGAAGGGCCTAAGCCTGAAGTCAGGAGGGGAACGCCAGCTGACTGAAGGGGCTCAACCAGGGGAATGCAGAGTGTGCCAGGCTGGGCTAGCTAGGCATTTTTTTTTTTGCTAATCAGCTCTAATTCCTTATGCCTAAGGTTTTCTGCATACACAAACTGCAAACAAGCATGACCAATTTCCTTCATGAAGGGCGCTGTGCAATACGATCGGCAGGCCCGTCGGTAAGGCAAAGCAGCTGCTCCAGGTACTGCAAACATGCCAGAGCTTTCCTCAGAATTTTTGTGGCTTTCCAAACATGCTTGCCTTGAGTAAGCAACTACACGTATTTAAAAAAATGGCTAACAGCTAAAAAATGCACAAACTGAATGCTGAAGAAGAAAAAAAAGAACAACTTGCTGTGGTGTCGTGGCAGCTATGGTGGTCTACAGAGAGAAAGAGGGCAAGGCTCCTAGGGAGGGGCAGAACTTCTTCTACTGGAGCAAATGATACTGTTAGAAATGAAAAACAAAAACAGGCATTCTTTTGGATGCAGATAACTGTAAGAGCTTAGGAGGAACATCTGTTTGATCTAAATCATTATTATGCTTACTCTGAAACTGAAAGCGATTAGGAGAAAATGGGTGAGGCAGGGTTCAGAAGGGGGCAAGGATCTGGGTTTGGACCAACTGATATCACCGAATAAAAACCAGCTAACTTGAAAAGCTTTATGTGCCTGAAAGCACATCAAACAACACTACAAAGTTTCAGATCAAAGCCTGTTTATTTTTAAGTGAAGGAGCATACTGTTTTTCAAAGGCTAAGCAGCTACATGTAGTATTTCTGGAATATTAGGGCTGGATAAGGCCTGGAGAGGTCACACATCAATTCCCTGCCTCGAGACAAGATCAACCCTGTTCATGGAGGTTTTGGCAGTAAGAGAGGCTCCAAGTTTCCTAGACATTTCTTCTGGGGCTTCATGGGGTTCTGTTCAAGCAAATGAAATTTGAGTTTTTAGGTACAAGTCCTTTACAGTGTTCTTCTGTTTAATGGACAGTTCTCACCGTTCCTTAGCGATACTATAGGCTGCATTATCATTTAGTAGTAAAACTCTTCAAAGACTCAGCTGTATCTGAAATCACTGGAAAAAAGACAGCAAGCAGAAATGGCCGAAGCCACTATGTTGCCTCTACAGCTGGGCTACAGTTTGCTCATTATAGTATTTGAGAAAACATGTTAGGAGAAGCCAGGACCATCAGAGCGGTTGGCATTAGAGCAGTGATGAACACAGGAACTGCTGTGTTCGGGAAGCTTTTCCTCATAAAACGCGATCCAAGACAGCCATGCCAAGTGGCAAGAAGGAAAGCAGTTTTGAGAGCATCGTTTTCCCCAGCCCCTCAGCTCTGTTTAAACACCAGTCTCAGTTTTCCTTCATAATCAGCATGCAAAATGACCTGTTGTACTGGCGGGCACACCAGCCAGCAGAGCAGCAGGTTCACCAGGGAGGGAGGGAAAAGCTCTGTAAAAATGCTGCAGATACAGAAAGTCTCAGCAATGTTTCTCTGGAAAGCTGAGCAAGCTGAAAAACATCCAGAGGGAGACAAAAGGGTTTGGTAGGAGGTCAGTTCCCTCCCATAAACTGCCATTTTCTTTTTTGTTTGCATGTGTCTAGTATGGACAAATCCGCGTGCTTGCTTGTGCACTGTTTAGTGTGCATGTGTGCAAAGAAAAAAGCACAGCACTGCTCACGTACGTTAACACAAGTTAAGCAACCTCATTTAGTTACTTGCTACTGGTGAGTTTTGTTGACCAAGGAATAGGCCATAACCAAAATGCTGGGCTGCACATTCAAGGAGCTGCTCTGAACACTGCTACTTAGGCCATTTTTCCTCGCTTTGTCCTTCTCTACTCCCCTTCCCCCCATTACCAACTTAAATAAATATGCTAATGAAGAGCGAGCCTTTTCTGCTCCATGCTTTATACTCTTAGATTCACATTGTCTGATCTTCAACATTTGGCAGTAGAGCTTCCAAGCTCGGGGTAGTTTTTAATATCTGTGTGAATGAGTCATTATGTTTCACTTACCCCAGTGACATTTTGGCTGACATTAATATAATCCATTTTGGATCACCGTACAAAAGGAATTTATACAGAATCCGCATTTTAACTACTTGCCTGCCCTGGCATGAATTGGCACTGATTTATCCTTGTGATCTCTGGGATTCTTTTTCTAAGGGTCCACAGAGGGTTACGCGTTAAAAGGCAAAGAAAAATGAGTTTACACAAACAAAGCTTTAGAGAAATATGCATCTGTTTTAAAGCAAAATTTTACACTGAAGTATTTTACTGGGAGGAATGTAAGAACTTTATGAAAACAGCACTATAACCACAGTATGATTGTTGCTCATAAATGTCTGAATTACTTTATGACTTACCTCATCTTTAAGGCCCATTAATTCTCTGTGAAGTAGCACTAACATACAACACGACACCAACATCCAGTGTTCTCAAGTAATCAAAACAAGTACATTACAATTCTTGAATGTTCACAGATCGGTTTACCAAAAAGCAACAGCTGCCATTTAAAGTGACAAAACAAATACCAAGTTTTTTATTGTTTGGGCTTCTGATGGATTTTGGCAGAGGAGACCAATATTGAGATGGACTTTTTAAAGAAAATTGACATAGCAAATAGAAGATTTACAACTAGTGGCATAAAGTTTCTCAATCTTGCTGAACAGCAAAATCTTCTAGAATATGGAATAAAACCTGAATTTGCTTTATAAACATGCAAGCCTATTCACTCATTCATCCAGCTACAGAATTTGTTTTACAACATACGTGTTCATTTGTTAAACACACTTCACTTAACATTTCAGGTAGCAAGTTCACCTGAAATGAAAACAATTCTATGGAAAAAAGTCATGAAAATCATCTTCTCTTGCATGTACTTCCATACGTTACCATCAATAGGCCCGGGTTTTTAGTCAGCTTATCATTGATGGTTTTGTTACGATGCATGAAGAGAAAGAAGAGAAGCTCTTCATAGATTTTCATGATCTTGCAGCCTGAACTACTAAGAGCCACGGCAGTGCAGAAGTTACTTATTCTGTGCATGAGTAGTGATCAAGACTTGGTCCAATTTCCATTGTTAAAAAAAGGTAAAATGTAAATCTTGATATCAAATCCATTTGAAAACAAAACAAAACAACAAAAAAAAACATGGAGTTGGATCTGCAAGATTTCATAATCCATGAAAAGAAAAAGGAAGCCCCCAGCAACCAGCTGATACTCAATTAGCATGTAAGCGAAGCATTCACCTTTATATCTATTGCGTGCATACACATCTTCATCGTCTTCAAGGGGTGAATATCCCGATCCTACAACAGAAAAATAAAGAGAGAAAAACTACAGCAAGAAAGGAAATATAAATTAAGGCTAAAAGAAAGCTTTGCCAAAAGACATGCAAGATTAGGATGCAATAATCTATGCGATGCCATTAGCATGGGCTTCTCCGAAGCTCAGATTCACAGCAGACCCAATTTATAGTGAATTTGGAAGGGGCAAATTGATTTAATAATCAAGTAAAATAATTGATTTGATAATCAAGTGAAATGAAAATATCTCAGAGCTCCCAGAGCTATGTCGTGCAATACTGTGCTGCACAATTCAAGTCAGAGCTCCTCTGCTTTGGAAAGCCCACCCATCAGGGAGGTGATCTCTTGAGCAGAGGTGGCACAAGCGAAGGGCCACACCAAAAGATTTCACTATAAAGTGGTTCCATAGTGTAAGTGGCTCTCAGGCCATTGTTAACAGCCATCAGGCCAAACAGCAGAAGTAAAATGTGTGCAACTCAAGAACAACCCTCGTTTACAACCTGTGTGATCTTCACATGCAAAACTAGAACACTGAGTTACGTTACCTGCAAACACAAGTTACACTCACATCAAAACTGTTTGCAATCAAGCAATCTTCTGTGGTTGTTCAAAATAAATTGTACATTCCTGCACCTCTAAAGAGCTGCACAACAGCTATAAGCTCGTAACAAAGGTAGAAACCATTTTACAACAATCAGAAACCGTTCAGAGTGCAAACATTCAAGTATTTCATCAATAAAACAAGGTGGTCATCAACAGAGCCTTCCAAATATTAAGTGCCATTGGTTTAAAATCAGAAGCACACTGTCTAGTCTGAATCCTAGATAAGTCTAGATAACCAGTAACACCTTACACACCACCCCACCAGCCTCTGGACGAACTTAGCTTTGTTCCTTCAGGATTTTTTGTTCAGCCAATGCACTTCATTCCTGCATCACAGCTTTTTTGACCTTGCCTCCCTCCATACACGTTTCCATTTATGCCACCGTCCCTACATTTCCAGCCTAGGCCACCAGCTGGAAGGAAGCACACATTCTCCTCTGCCCCACCAGCCAGGCAAAGGCAATCCCTCCCCTCCCTGTACAGCAGCATAAAGCAATTAGCAGACTGAAAGCCATGGATCTGAAAGCCACGGCAAACCTAGCTTCCCTTACCTACTGCCCTAGCATTTTACCCAAAACCCAGGAGAGAAACCCAGCCCATGTATCTGCAGCTGCTCCACGCGAGAAGTTACAGTGCATAGGCTCCTTCTGCAACGGGGCAGGTCCCTGCACAGCATCAGCTGCAGCACTGCTCACCAGGGCTCGGCCCACCTGAAGATGAGACTCTGCATCGCCTGTGACCCTTCTTGCTGCATTACTTGGATGTCAGGCACAAGTGCCCAGGAGTCATGAGCTTGGTGTTCAGCAGCACCTCCTGGGAGCTGCAGGGAAGATGAGGGATGCGTGCACCCCATTGCAGACCAAAACCTTGCACCAATACTGCAGCTGTGCAAAACATTTAGGTTCCTGCATAAGAAAACAAAAATCAAGAGCCGTGCCTACAATAAAAGCAGTAAAAAAAATGCAATTCATCTGATTCAAAGCCTGACTCAAAGCTTACTGTAATCACTGAGGATCCCTCTGCCAGCTTTCAAAGGCTTTGAGTTCACTCCTTGGGGAGCTCACTTCCAGTTTCTCCCCTGAAACCTGGGGTTTTATGCGGCACAGACTTCCCATCGCTTGGGAGCACTTTCTCTGGATTTTTTTAATTTTTGTTGTTGCTGTCAAATTTTTGATGCCTAAACAGTGATATCTTAAAAACTTCTCAACATAAACTTTGCCGCATTTGAAGTCTGAGCGTGTAATATAAAAAAGCAAGCTGTGATCCCCGAGGACTCCAGGAAGACCTTGATATGTAAACGAGCACCTCTCTCAGCATCTATTATTCTGTCAGAAATTGGGATCCTCTTGGCTAATTACTCAGGTTGAGAGTTAAAAATGAAAACAGTGAGGTAACATTTCTATAATTGTCTGAATTTTCCTGTGCATATAAACATCAGCATAACTTAGGGCTATGTGAGCTCTTACATATTTATCTTTCCTTAGACAAGAAATAATTAAATGCTCTTATAAGTCTTCTAATAAAAAATGGCCTTCAGAGGTGTTCCTAAAATCCCTTGCCCTAAAATGAGGCCGTGTTCTTCATGATTTGCTGCCATATACTGTGGATGAAAACAAATAAAATAAACATACCCAGAAAGCTATCATTTGACATCCAATTCCAGCATATTTTATAGCTGGAAATGAGAAAGCAGTCAGGTTGCTCTTCTAATGAGCAACATTTCATTACTGTTAATAATCATAGCAGGACAGGGTTGGGGAATTGCTAAGGAGCTTTTCCTTGCTGTCCATTTGGAGACAAAGTACTCAGCAAAGTTCAAAGTGCTGAAATTATCACCGTACAGACCCCAGGTGTTTCAAGGAAGGAGGATGAGCAACAAGCTACTTGATGGACATCTCACATCACGGGACGTGTAGCAAAACCCTACAAAAACTGGCTGCAGATTTTGTTCACGCAGACTACAGGCAAGACCCACAAAGTAACACTTCCATCATGAACCTACCATGAGATTAACCCACGGAACTTGATCCTCTTTTTGTCAGGAAAAACAATTTTTCTTCATCCACAAAATAACTGCTACGTTTTTATGACCAGAGGTTTTACAAGAAAGCTTTACCTTTTCTTATATTTTATTAGGGCAAAGTGTTTTAATGAAACTTCAGGCAAGCTACTAGAAAGTATGTGGTACTGTCGGTCACTGACCACTCAGTAGTCTGTGCTGAATTAAGAAATCCACGGATAAAACTGTAAAACAGAGCAGGACAAGTGGCAGCAGTAAGCATTTAAGCCTGCTGATGGATGTAAAAATCCTTGTGTAACTAGAATTCGTGAAAAGAAATACGACCTTTCTCCAAGTATTTACATTTAGTGCTCAAACTGGCAACCTAATGAGACACTCAGACATACAGTAGTTACTCATTTGCACTGAACGTGAACCAGAACATTTCAAGAGCAACGCTGCCTTTTTTGTGCTTGCCAAATCTCCTCCAAGTGTGCTACAGATGTCAGCTGTCGAGGCTTCACTGCTTCTCCTCCAACAAAGCGTTTAAGTATCTCCTTAAGTGGGCTCACCAGCCCCAGGGAGGCCACATGCTTGACCCTAAATCCCCTCAAAATTGTTTGCAGACATTGACATTTGATGTCAGTCACCTGACGAAGTACTTTGTTGCTTTTGTACCGCAGTCTAGACCCTGTGAAGGCAGCTTTCTGACGATGGCTCTGATTTCCATGCTTACAGCCAGCCCAGCATTTGCTCTCCTGGCCTGGGACTTTGGTCCTCTGAAAAAGAGATGGAGGGGAGCAGAGCATACAGCTGCACTCGTGAATTCGCACAGATTCCAGTGTCAGCCCCACAACTAAAAACAATGCAAGAAGTATGAATTAAATACAATCAGCCAAGCATGCATTGAGAAAAACCACTTGCTATATTCTTGGATGTGACCACCTCAAAGTTCTCCAGAACTGTCAGAGTTATCATAAATTGCTCAGCCGTCTTGATCCTACAACGAACTTTGCACCTTCTCAAGGCTAACAAGGCCAAGTGCCAGGTCCTGCACTTGGGGCACAACAACCCCATACAGCACTACAGGCTGGGGGGAGAGTGGCTGGAAAGCTGCCTGGTGGAAAGGGACCTGGGAGCATTGGTCAATAGCCACATGAACATGAGCCAGCAGTGTGCTCAGGTGGCCAAGAGGCCAACAGCATCCCGGCTTGTATCAGAAACAGTGTGGCCAGCAGGGCTAGGGGAGTGATTGTCCCCTTGTACTCGGCTCTGGTGAGCCTCACTAGGATTTATGCCTTGAATACTGTGTTCAGCTTTGGGCCCCTCACTACAAGGACAGAGGTGCTGGAGGGTGTCCTGAGAAGGGCTACAAAGCTGGTGAAGGGTCTGGAGAGCAAGTCTGGGTTGGGCTGGATGATCTTAGACATCTTTTCTAAAACCTGAATAATTCTATGATTATCCAAGCCGAGGTCAGGCATTTTCTCACTGGATCATTTCATTCTGCCAAGCAGCAATCACAGAATCATAGAATGGCCTGGGTTAGAGGGGAGGGACCTTAAAGACCATCTACTTCCAGCCCCCTCGCCATGGGCAGAGATGCCTTCTACTAGATCAGGTTGTCCAAAGCCTTGAAAACAAGGCGAGGTTTAAAATAATCAAACTGCACAAAAAGAGAAAGCAGTATCATTTTGGTTTCTTAAAAACAACAACAACGAAACCCAAGAACCAGTAATGATAACCAGAACACGAAAGCCTTCAGCTCCATACAAATGTTAGGAGAGTTATTCAGGAGAAGACCTTGACACGGTCACCGGGATCACCTGCACGGGCAAAGGGAAGGAGGACTCGTGCTCCCACTGTTTGATGCCACTGACTCTGTAAGCGATGCCATGTGTACAAATTCAGGGACGTGCCCAGGAATGATCTCCCCATGGCGAACGTCCACCCAGGCGGTTCTGCTGGCAGAGGGAGGGCACCAGGAGCTAATCTCAGGGCAGACACTGCATATGCAGGTGCGTACATGAACAGCATTTAACGTGCTATTGTGTTACAAATCCTGGATAATTGAGAAAAGGAAGGAATGTGGGCTGCGAGAGGCAGATTAGGCACGCAAAGTTGGTTTTCCCACGACTAACAAACTTCTTAACTCTTCTTGCCCTAGATCAGCTGAAAATAAGCTGCAGACCACGACAGCATCCCTCATGAAACCAGTGAGAAACCTTTTACACTTTACTGCCCTGAGGCAGTACAAGGTCAGGCACTGAAGCAGAAGAGGCCACTGCACTTTGGCTGAAGGGACTTCAACCCAAACAGCTCTGTTCTCCCTCGCTTAGCACCAGGCAAACTGAAAAGCTTTGCATCTGCTGCACTTACGGTCCTGTAGATTAATAAGAGCTCT